GATCATAGGTGTGTGCATCTTCAACTTCACCAGATAATGCCAGATTGTCCCCCAAAAGAACTGTTCCAGTTTAGACTCCCAACAGCAAAGTATAATTGTTCCGGTGTTCTTACTTCCACCAACACTTGATTTTGTCAGATTTTTTTCACTGACAATCTGGTAGGTATAAAACAATGTCTAGTTGTGTGATGATTTGCATTTCCCTCACAATTCTTTACATAACCTAATCTTTTATCAGTTACATGTATTGCAAACATCTTCTTCCAGTCTGTACCTTTCCATTTTCAATCAACTTTATTGAGGTATATTTCTACAAAATAAACCTAACCATTTTAAGCCTACAATTTGATATCTGACAAATGGATACAGTTCTCTAACCACTACAGTCATGCCATAAAATGTTTCCCTTGCCCCCCAAATTCCCTTGTGCCCCCAGTCCCTCTCCTCTCCCTACCTCTAGTGTCAGGCAAGCACAGATCTGCTCTCAGTCACCAGTTTTGCTTTTTTTCAGAATATCATATAAACATACTCATTCAGTCTATCTGGCTTATTTCATTCAGCAAAATGCTTTCGAAATTCATCCATGTTCTTCCATCTATCGGCAGTTTATTCCTTTTTATTGTCAAGTAGTATTTCATTTCATGAACACACCACATTTATTTATCCATTCACCAGTTGATGGAAATTAAGGCTGTTTCTAGTTTGTGGCTCTTACGAATAACATTATCGTGAACATTTACATAGAAGTCATTGTGTGAACATGTCTTAATTTCTCTTGGGTAAATACCTAAGAGTAGAAGGGCCATGTGATATATGTATATTTGTTTTTATGAGAAACTGCCAGATTGTTTCCCAAACTGCTGCATTGTTTCCCATCTTGCACTTTCACTAGCAGAGTATGAGAATTCTGTGGGTCATTAGACAAGAAGTCTGTGGCATCTTTTCCATACAGAACTTTAAAATTGTGACGTAATTTGATATATCAATCATTTTCTTTATGGTTGGTGCTTTTGGGGATTTATGAAATCTTTCATCACTTGGTTCTTCATGTTGTGATTCTATTTGTAATTTCTCCTGTGAGGATTATTAGATTTTTTTTTTCTTCAAAAAGGTCTTTTCTGACATTTCCCCATAGCAGTTTGTAGGCAATGTACACTTAACTCACTATGTCCGATAATACAGCATTTGTTTTCATTACAGAATAATGTGACATGAGATTGCGGGTAAGAGCTCAATGTGCTCAGTTAAGAAAACTGCATTTCATGGAACTGAAATTCTCTGAAGAATTCTTGTTTTCTCCATTCAGTTCGGAATGGAGTTCAACAAAGTGTCAAAACACAGATTAGCAAACTTTTTCAATGAAGGACTAAACAGTACATATTTTAGGCTGTGTAGACCGTACTGTCCCTGTCCTGACGACTCATCGCTGTTGTTGGAGTGCAAAAGCATTGCCGACAATACATAAACGGATGAGCGTGGCTATGCTCCAATAAAACTTCATTTACAGAGGTCGAACTTCGAACTTCATAGAACTTTTATGTGGCACAAAATCATATTCTTTTTCCCCCAAAACATTAAAAGATATAAAAACCAAATTTAGCTTGCGAGCCATGGAAAAACGGGCAGAGAGGCAGATCTGGCCCATGAACAGTAGTGTGCCAGCTCCTACTGCTTTAGAACACATCCTCCCGACATCACTGTAAGGCAACTGGCTAATATCCCTCTCCCACTTTGCGCAGTGGAGCACGAGAACCCAAGGAGACGTCAGCATTCATCCAGGTTAGTTTCCCTTTCCTCCTCCTTCCCTCGTTTTACAGAGGAGGAGGTTTTGGTGCAGGGAGAGAAAATGCCCAACTTCAGGCTGCGTGGCTCATGAGTGACAGTGCCAGGCTGGAGTTTGGGGGTCTTGATTTAAGGCCTACCTCCCTCCCTCCACTCAATTCCAAAAAGCAAAATTTAAAATTCCACCCATAGCCGCAAAATCCGCCTGCCACTTCTCATAAGTAATTCATCTTTTTTTTTCACCCTAAAGGAATTTATTCTAACAAACACCTTAAAACTAAGGATTCAGTAAGCTCAAATCTTGATATTTAATTTGTACTATTAAAACCTGTGCAACGCAATTAACAGTGACAACTGCATTGTAAATTTGAGAGAAATTTTCACTGGGGAGGTGACACAATGATATGTGTGGGAAAATTACACAGAGAATTAAAATTGGTTAAATAAGGCACCTAAATTCCAAAAAGCCCATGAAGATCCCCAAAGCGAATTTTATTCCAGAATTTCGATGGCACAAAGAACGACAATTCTATGGTAAGTAGCAGAGAAATCACCTCTGCAGATTAGACTGAGGCCAATGGGGTGGCCAGGATGGGGGACTCCAGGCCGGAGGTTAGGACTCTCACTGCAGTAAACCTCTGGAACCCAAACTCCAAGAAAGCAGAGTCTTTGTCTCTTGTTCATGGCTGTGTCGCCTCCAGACCAGAGCCTGGGACATACTGGTGCTCAGTAAATGATGGTCGAAGGATCAAAATCAGCCTGTAAGAGGCGATTCCTGGGAACTGGCGTCTGAATTTTTAGAGCACCTATTCCAGCAGCTTTGGGGCCACTCTGAAAAAACCTTAAAGGATTTCCCACCCGCCAGGGGCCCCATCAAAAGGTGGTCACCTTCACCCCCTGGATAACTATCTTCTCATCTGCCCTTGACCTGTCTCTTAGGCTTGGAGTTATTACACATTCCGGATATAATGAATACGTACAAAGTATTGCCTCTGAACTGTTAAACAACTGAATATTCATCGAAGGCAACCAATGTTTATAAATGAGTCAGAAGTGTTTAAAATGTAGACATTTATAAAGGGTCCGAGGAATAAGAAATTCCCAGAATAATTTACTACCTGCACATTTCAATTTTGCTTGGAAGTTCTAATTCTCAGCAAACATTAATCAAGTCATCCCACTATCTTTTAGGTTACTTTCCCCATTTTACAGATAGCAATTCAGCAGAAGTTAAATGACTTGTTGCCAAGGTCACAAGGAGAATATAAATCTAAATGATTCATGATTTCAGCCCTCTCTCCTGCCATTTGTTAGATTGAAACCGAGGGAGGTTTCAGGAGGATTTCAACTCACTTCCCTGGTGACTGACTGTATATTTGCTGCTCTCTGCTACCCCCTGTTGATATGAGAAGGCAAGAGTAGATCTCGAGACCAGTATTTCTCAGAGTTAGGTCTGGGAGCAGCCGTATCAACATCACATGGGAACTGGTGAGACACAGAAATTATGGGGCCTCAACCCATAATTTTGGGGGGGTTGGGCTCAGAAGCCTGTGATTAACAAACCTACAAAAGATTCTGCTGCAACTTGATATTACTTTTCTGCTTTTGGTATGAATGTCCTGGCCTCCTAATCATCATAAAAATGGCAAGCCCCTTCACACTGCTTCTCACATGTAGTATATATACCATTATGCCCTACTCAAAGTGCTTTCACATCCATTCACTCTTTCAGAGGGGCTTGCAGTAGCCCTATGAAATAAGTTAGGGAGGGACTGCAAATCCATTTTACAGATGAGGAGACTTGAGGCTCAAGAAAGTTCAAATAACTTGCCCAGGGTTACTCAGCTTTAAGTGGCAGGGCTGGATTCAAATCTAAGTCTTCTCTCTCTACAACCATGTCCAGAGATTCTTCAGTTACTCCACAATAGGGCTGCTGACATTTGGGGTCAGGTAAGATGGGGTGCTTTGCTGTGGGGGCCATCCTGGGTATTGTAGGATGTTTAGCAGCATTCCTGGCCTCTACTCACTAGATGCCAGCAGCACCCCATCCTAGTTGTGACAATCAAAAATGTCTCCTAGGGGCTTCCCTGGTGGCGCAGTGGTTGAGAGTCCGCCTGCCGATGCAGGAGACACGGGTTCGTGCCCCGGTCCGGGAAGATCCCACATGCCGCGGAGCGGCTGGGCCCCGTGAGCCATGGCCGCTGAGCCTGCGCGTCCGGAGCCTGTGCTCCGCAGCGGGAGAGGCCACAACAGTGAGAGAGGCCCACGTACCGCATTAAAAAAAAAAAAAAAAAAAGTCTCCTAATATTGCCAGGGCCCCCCGAGGAGCAAAGTAACCTGTGGTTGAGAACCACTGACCTTCAGCCAACTCATAAATGCAGATAAATTCCACATTTCTTGTTCTGCAAATTTTGTACTCTTTGGGATGATTCCAGAATAAAGAGCTTATTTTGGGCCTCAGCCATCTATGAAGTGAATGAACTAGACTAACTCCTTAAGAAAATTAACACTAATTCTGTTATATCATTTGGTATCCAATGTGTATTCAGATTTCCCTCAGGTGTCTCAAGAATATCTTTTATAGCTGTTCTTTAACAATAGGATGCAACCTAGATTCCTCAGTGGCTCTTGGTTGCTGTGTCTCTCTAGTCTCTTTTGGTCTAGAATATGGGTCCACAAACTATGGCCTGTGGGCCAGATCTGGCCCATCACCTGCTTTTGTCAATATGCTTGTGCTGGAACACAGCCATGTGCTTTCATTTATGTATATAATGGCTTTTGTGCTACAATATTGGAGTTGAGTAGTTGCAACAGACACCGTATGGCCCATGGAGCCTAAAATACTAACTACCTGATGCTTTACAGAAAAAGATTGCCAATCTGTGACCTAGAACCATCCTCTAACCTTTATTTTTAATATAATCCTGACTGTTCAAAGAGTCCAGAACCGCCTGTAGAAAATCTCTTCTTTTAGACTGGCCTGATTATATACATACATATATATACATATACGTATGTATGTGTGTGTGTGTGTGTATATATATATATATATATATAATTTACTGCAATTTCACATACTGTATACATATACTTAAAAATACAAAATACTTATGAAACGATCAGTGCTCCATGGTGCAGAGTTAAACAAATTTTTATGTGTTAAAACTCTAAATGAAATTGAATGGCAAACAACAAATTAGAAAAATAATTCCAAGAGCTTTATTTTATTTTTTTTATTTTCATATTTTATTTTCCAGGAAGGGGAAGAAAAATGTCATGACTGACATAGAGTAGCTTCAGTTACAAATGAAAGTAACACCTTTGGTGATTAAGTTTCTGTATCATTTGAATAGAGAAACCAGTAGGAAAATCAGGGGCATCCTTTTTTGGAAAATCATAATATATAATTTCAACTATAATTTTCAACTGTGGCACCAGAGTGCACAGAAATTCAGATATATCCACAAGAATGTCAACACTCTGAGTACAGGGCCATGTACTTAGCAACATGCATGGTATACAGAAAGTGCTACATAAATGTCCATGGGAAGAATGAATGAATGAGTACCGTTCCTTTACACATTTGGGCTCGGCAGGTGGTCACAAACATATTCACAAGCATTTATTAGATTAGTATTTTTTTTTAGTATAACAAGCATGCAGAGCCTACTGAAGGCTTACCTGTTAGTGTTCTGTTGGGAGCTCATGCATGTTCATTGACATAGGATTCAGGTAGCTTGGAACATGACCTTCAGAACAGGAATACACTGGTTTTATGCATATGGTCATATGGAAAGCTAGAACACGTCCAGCCTCTCCTTCCAGTTAACCTAGGTCAGACTCTAACGAAAGTACCTTCTTCTGCTACTCTGGATACAGTGTATCTATCCTACTAATCACCTAAGACATTATAAGTGAAACAAACCATCACTAAAGAAAATGCTGCTAACTCGTTTTATCAGTTAATATAACATGGGTGAGGCTGTGTGTAGTTTAATTGCTAACTGGTTTTATCAGTTAATATAACATGGGTGAGGCTGTGCGTAGTTTAATTCCCCTCCACCTCTCTAAAATGTCATTTAACCTATAATAAAAATTGGACCTCCCTAAACCACAATATATATTTTACGATAATATTTGTAAAAAGTTAATCGTCATCCACTCTAGCATAGCTGACATAAATGGCGCTGAAGGGTGAGCTGTTGGTCAGAAGTAAGGCAGAAGATTTAAAGAATTCCCGGTTGGTTCTTGAGCAGTGGATCTTCTTCCTGGTTTCCGGGGAAGAGCATCTTTGCACTATTGAGGAAAACATTCAGGCCTTTGCCTCTGACCATGATCCCAGTGCTGTTTTCTATTGGTTTGTATTCCTTGTGTTTTCTGAAAGCAATGTGTTGGACAGATTAAAAAAAGATCTCCAGCTGGAAAAGGTTGCTTTCTACAGTCTTTTACATGCCAAGTGCAGAATGGTTAATTCTATTTAATTTATGGCTTTTAAGACATTGATGTCTTATGAAAATATATTTATTTTCTCTTCTTCATGCAAGAAATGTGTCTGCTTACTATAACTTGCGATTATATGTTAAACATTAAGCTGACACGATTTGGTAAAGTTACTGACATTTGGTAGCATTTTTAGGGATTAAAAAAAACACAGCAAAATTAATAGGCTAGTTTGGTATTCGTCATTCAGTGGAAGATTTTCCTCCCACATACAAAATGTTTAAAAGCAAAAAAGGGAAAACAGCCCACTTGTGCAGAAATATGTTATTTATTTTTGACAATATACTCTAGTGATTTAAAGTGTTAGAACCAGCAACTTACTTGTACACCAAAAGGGCGATCACAGTGACAAATATGGCCATGCAGACAACGAAGAAGACCAGGGTACCATTTGCCATTCTTAAAAGGGAGTCTGGGTCTTAAAACAAAAGCAAGACCGTATTAGTGACAACTTCCACCTCGAGGACATGCTGCTTGTAATGCAATTAAATCAATGAGGAAGAGAGCTAACAGAAGATATATGGCTCTCTCTGCGCTTTCAGTAATCTTTCCCATTACATAATACATAGTCTTTGGGGGCAGCTTATCTTCCATTTAGAGAATGAGTTAGTGTGTCTGGAACACTGTGTTACGGGCTCAGGAGACAGATGTCACGTCCCGGAGATACCTGATGGGGTCTGAGCTGACCCAGCTGCACACACGTGGTGAAGGTCTTCATGATCCTCCTGCACACTCCTCTGGCCTCATCTTCCACTGCCTTCTTTCCAGCTGTGCTAAAAATCCATCCTCCCCGTGCTCTTTCAAATCTCCATGCCCTCTGCCGGGAACATCCTTCTCCCAACTCATCTCCAGCGTCTGCCCCTTTGGGACACCTTCCAGACATGCATGCGGGCACCAGGTCATGCCTTCCTTTGTCACTTCTCTCCTTGTCTCTCTTCCTCTGCCTCCATCACACTGTGTTGCAATTACTTTTTTTAAAAAGATTTATTTATTTTTGGCTGCGTTGGGTCTTCATTGCAGCACGTGGGCTTTCTATAGTTGAGGTGAGCAGGGGCTACTCTTCGTTGCAGCGCGAGGGCTCATTGCGGTGGCTTCTCTTGCTGTGGAGCATGGGCTCTAATTGCACGGGCTCCAGTAGTTGTGGCTCTCGGGCTCTAGAGCTCGGGCTCAGTAGTTGGGGCACACGGGCTTAGTTGCTCCGTGGCGTGTGGGATCTTCCCAGACCAGGGCTCGAACCCGTGTCCCCTTCATCGGCAGGCGGATTCTTAACCACTGCGTCACCAGGGAAGCCCGCAATTACTTCTTTACACAAATTTCTCTCCTGCTAGACTGTAAGAGCCATAAAGCAGGGAGTATGTCTTCTCTGTACTCCCAGAACCCAGCAAATCAACTAGTCTTGTCTCTGCCACCAAAGTACAACTGGAGTCGGTCTATTTTCTCTCCATCTTCTCTGCCGCCATCACAGTCCCGGCCACCAGCCCTCTTCCCTGAGAGGACGTCTTCATTGTCTACTCGCTTCCACTGCTACTTTCCAATAAACCTTGCTTCACTCAGCAGTCTGAACGATCATCTAAAAGCATTGATCAGATCATGCTTCAACCCTGCCAGTGGTTCCCCTTACGCACAGAATAAAACCCAAACCCTACCTGTGGTGCATGAGGATCTAGATGGGCTGCTTTTTTTTTTTTTTTTTTTTTGCAGTTCGCGGGCCTCTCACTGCTGTGGCCTCTCCCGTTGCGGGGCACAGGCTCCGGACGCGCAGCCTCAGCGGCCATGGCTCACAGGCCCAGCCGCTCCGCGGCATGTGGGATCTTCCCAGACCGGGGCACGAACCCGTGTCTCCTGCATTGGCAGGCGGACTCTCAACCACTGCGCCACCAGGGAAGCCCGGCTGCTCATTCTTGAAATGCAGGTCTCAGAGGTGGAGGAGGAGGCCCTTCTCATTCAGAGAAGGTGCTTCACCAAGAGGTTGCCACTGCGTTGGCAGGACTTTCCCAACGTCCCAATCTAGAGAGCCAACCTCTGCCCCCTCTCTCCCATGCTTGTCACTCTCCACGCCTTGTCTCATTGTTTTCACAATATCATCTTATTTGTTTACTGCCTCTTTCTGCTCACAAAAGCTGGGACCTTCCTCACCTTGTTCCCACTCTATCTAGAACTGGCTACCTGGTGCCTGGAGCTGTGATGGACATGGAGTGGACGCCCAGTGAATATTTGTTGAAAGCATTGCAGGTGCTTCATGAATGTTCCTTGAATCAATGATTAAAAGTCATTTCAGCTAACAGGCAATGCGTTTGCCTTTGAATAGTGATGGACTTTTGAGATTCTGACTTTGAAACCCAAGTCATCAAGTTACAATTCCCATCGGATTAAAAGCTCTCTTTCTGAGCTTCCTTTTTTGGATTTTAAAAATGGCTCAGGTCACACCTAAAGTTATCACTCACTACAAGAAGGATTAAAGGGAAGCAAATATCCAAACGTCTAATCCAGGTAAGAGAGCCGTGGTTTGCCAGAACTGAGAAAGCTTCACAGAATAGGTTGGGACTCTAAAAGGCAATTCTAAAAGTAACTGCAGCAGCACAAGAAAAACAACCCCAGTAGCTCCTGGACGTGATGGTGGACACTCACTCAAATACAGAGGCTCCGGCTGCCTCTTTTCGCCTGGCTCCCCACTTCTGCACCCCAGACCCCATGCACCCTCCCTGGGAGGAAGCAGTGTACCTTTGCATTCTTTTCTTTTTTTTTTTTAACGTACACCTTGGATCTCACCAACAATAAACCCTCATGCAAATAATTATATGCATGATTACTTATGCTTTTCTTTCAATGAGGTTAAAGCTGCCTTTTATATAGTTAATGAGTAAATATATGTTTAAGTACATTTCACCTTATAAGATAGACTCCACGACCAAAAGAGTTATTTGTGAGTTAGTTGTTAGGTTGTACCCAACAATACTCAAACTAAGGAGCAAAACACGTGCTGTAATGTGTGCACAATTTAATCTGTGCCTTCCGTCCCACCATGTAGCACTTCCTCTAAGAGGTAAAGCAGTATCTTACAACATAGTCAGTTATAAGTGAAATTCAGTTAGGGTCACCAGGTAGAGTCCTCATGGGCTGGGGAAGATTAGCAGCCACTAGTAGATGGGAATTTCTCAGTGAAACTCCTTCAACCACTTGGCTAACATTTTACCTCTCCCAGCATTAAGGGGACAAGGAGTAGTTTTTCTGGTGAACATTTAAGGACTAGGTAAATTGGTTTGTTTCCATCTCAGTGTAATGCTTGGTAGAATTTGGGAAGGGAAAGAAAGGGCACATGGCAAGTTAGAAGGGAACCAGGAGTCCACCTGGTTTCTCATTTCTCTTCATGGCTTCATATCTTTGCCCAGGTGGATTCCAATGACAACATGATACCAGCCTCCCCTTTGTTGTAGCTTAATTGGACAACACTTTTTTTTTTTTTTTTTTTTTTGCGGTACACGGGCCTCTCACTGTTGTGGCCTCTCCCGTTGCGGAGCACAGGCTCCGGACGCGCAGGCTCAGCGGCCATGGCTCACGGGCCCAGCCGCTCCGCAGCATGTGCGATCTTCCCGGACCGGGGCACGAACCCGTGTCCCCTGCATCGGCAGGAGGACTCTCAACCACTGCGCCACCAGGGAAGCCCCATTGTTATTTTTTGATGTTGGGTTTTGCACTTTCCTCTTGAATTACAAATCTATCTGAGCATGCAGTGACCACATCCCATTATTACTGGTCCATGATCACAGCTGATTTACTTCGTCAAAAGGCTTTTCTCTGGCCATTACTTCATTGGGTTTCTCTCTCTCATCCCTTCCCTAAGTATATTTGCTGTTGGCTTTTAATGCCATTTCTCAAATCCACGTTAACAACAGTTCAATGAATTTTACGTGGAAATAAAACTAAATATTGAGAGTGAAGCCTTGAGTAGCTTTGGTATTGGACACACACTTTATCTCCAACATGAAATGTTCATACAACCATAAAACAAAACTTACCTCTTCCAGGGATAGAGACGAGGGTGCTCGTGAGGGCCAGGCTTGCATCATCACCCAGAGTCAGGTTCATACAGTATGTCCCAGACCCACCAAAGGCTCTTCTCACTGTCAGCAAGCACATATCGCCCAGGTCCATGTTCACAGGGTCGCACACTGTGTTCTGAGTGACCTGGCAGGTGGGGTCGGAGATGACGGTACAGACCTCTGTGGGGATGCTGAGGGCACGAATGACGCAGAGAGAGAGAGAGGAATATGACATCAGTGTAGAAAGAAAATCACTACATTTCTATAAAATGGAATCCTACTTATTCTTACTCAAACCATATGACATGAAATTGTCACATATAATTTACTCTTTAAAAATTTTTTTTAAAAATTATTTATTTTTGGCTGCGTTGGGTCTTCGTTGCTGTGGGCGGGCTTTCTCTCGTTGTGGCGAGCGGGGGCTACTCTTCGTTGCGGTGGCAGGCTTCTCGCTGCGGTGGCTTCTCTTGCTGCGGAGCACGGGCTCTAGGCGTGCGGGCTCAGTCATTGTGGTTCACGGGCTCTAGAGCGCAGGCTCAGGAGTTGTGGCGCACGGGCTTAGTTGCTCCGCAGCATGTGGGATCTTAATTTACTCTTAAACAAGCCTGGGTGTGAGCCATTGTTTCCTTTGTATCCTCAGGAAGATGAGCCCCTGGTGCTGGAGGAGGAAGAAATGATGTCCCCCAAGGCAAGGGGCTGCTGGGAACTTCCCTCTCCTTTTTGGCTCTCTAGATGCCCAAAGATGCAGACGGCTTAGGTATTAGGCAAAGGTAGTATTAAATGCCAGTCGGCCCTGCGTGGGCTCCTGCAGAGATATGACGACAGCAGCAGCAGCAACCAGAGCTGTTTATGCAGCACCTACTGTGTGCAAGGCACTGAGTTTCTGATGAGTGATATAGTCTTGTCTATTCCTCTCAACGACCTGATGAGGAAAGTAATACTTTCCTAATGCAGCAGGTGACAAACTAGCTCTGGGAGGGGAGATCGCTGGCCCCAGCTTAAAAAAGCAGTTAGAGGTGGAGCTGGGACTTGAATAAAAGAGGTTTGACAGCTGTCCCTGTAACCACTCGGCTACCATGTGTTACTGTCTTAGCCACTGTCTCACTTCTGAGTAGACTTCCTGGATGGCGAGACCAGGCTCTGAAGCTGGGCCTGATGAGGGCGTGGGAAATTAGACGAGTTCATGTTCCCTTCTCACCTGGCCCCTGGCCTCTTGAAGCAGCTGCGCCTCCTCAGTCAGGGTTTTCTCTTTTTCTGTCATCCTCATCCCATTCTCTCCCCAATCCAGAGAGCTATGGAGCTATCCCCCCTTTTTGGGGGGTGCACCCCACGGCTTGCAGGATCTTAGTTCCCTGACCAGGGATTGAACCCGTGCCCCCTGCAATGGAAGAGCAGAGTCCTAACCACTGGACCACCAGGGAATTCCCTGGAGCTATCCTTTTTGATCAGATAAGGCCTCGTTTTTATACCAGCCCATTCTCTTGATTAATTTATGTATCACATACACATACATTTTAATTACTTGATTTACTTATACGTAAATTAGTAAGTCATTCACATATTTGATGGCTTAATTGATATAGTATTTATATATTAGTTTATATTCAGTCTATTATCTATAGTTATAACCAAACATTAGGAAGTCAAATTATATAACGCATCAGAAAGAGCTTTGTAAGTTTTAAAGCAAGACAGGATGATCGATCAGGCATTGCTACTACTTAGCACAAGGACACAGCGCTTCCACATGGCCTCCCCTGACTCCGGAGGAGCCTCAGGGAGCTTAAGAGGCTCTGAGCCAGACCTCAACCCAGGAACCTTGCTCTGCCAGGTACCCGCCACCTAGGGAGGTACTGTTATCACTGGTGTAAATGAGGAGACTCACGACTGTGTGAGGATTTGACGTGAAAACAGAAGTAAAATGTTAAGGACACAGTAAGTGTTCAATCAGTAATTCTTCTTCAACAGTTAAAGGTGGTGAGCATTGCTCAGCTCTAGCAAAGCAAGTGCATGCTTGAGAGCACGTGGGAGGGTCCTTCCTCATCCTGGCTTGCTGAGGAACTAGAATCCAAATCAACTTTAGAGGGGAGAGAGGTATGAAGACCTTTGTTCAGCCTGGGGTCCTCACTTGGCCCCTTTCTTGGAGATAATGTACTCACCTCCCTTGGCAGTTCACGACGAAATCCACCAGGGGGTTGTCAGGCTGTGGCACGGGCATCAGGACGTCTGTCACCCGGATGATGTTAACCTCTAGGATTCCCTCTAGTGGAACAATGCCCCGCAGAAAAACACATCAAAATACAACACAAACCAAACCAAACCACTTCTTAACCAATCAGAAGGCCAAACAAAACGGACTCAGCTTCTCACCACCCCAGACCCGGGAATCTGCCCCAGAGCTTTGGGTACATGTCCAGGCAGCATTTTCAAAGTCAAACTGAACAGCTCTTCAGCCCAACCTTGATCTTTAGTTCTGGAGCCTGTGTGTCAGGAGGCGGCACCCACTGGAGGAGGTGTTTCCGGGAAAGATGACCCTGAAGGGGGGCAGGCCCAGGCTCAGGCCTCAGCTGCTGTCTCTCCTGCCCAAGTGGCTCAGCCCCAGTAGGCACAGCTTGGCGTTTATTTTTTTATTTATTTTGATTATTTTTTTTTTTGCGGTACATGGGCCTCTCACCGCTGTGGCCTCTCCCGTTGCGGAGCACAGGCTCCGGACGCGCAGGCTCAGCGGCCATGGCTCACGGGCCCAGCCGCTCCGCGGCACGTGGGATCCTCCCGGACCGGGGCACGAACCCGCGTCCCCTGCATCGGCAGGCGGACTCCCAACCACTGCGCCACCAGGGAAGCCCTGTTTGTTTTTAGTGTGGACCATTTTTAAAGTCTTCATTGAATTTGTTACAATATTGCTCGTTTTATGTTTTGGCTTTTTGGCCGCGAGACATGTGGGATCTTAGCTCCCTGACCGGGGATTGAACCCGCACCCCCTGCATCAGAAGGTGGAGTTGTAGCCCCTGGACCACCATGTGGGTTTTAGCCCCAGCCGTCTCCTCTGTTGGGCACCTGTGAGCAGCGCCCCAAGCACACAGCCCGGTGTGGTGGCCCTGTTCAACCCTCTTTCTTACACGCAGGAGGTGTGACTTTGTGAAATCACCCAGGGGAGGAAAGTGGGAGCTGTGAGAATTTGCAACTGGCCTTCCTTCAGGCCACATTCATTCAGGTTTCTGAGCTGCACAGGGTCGGAGGTCCAGGCCCCCTGGCAGGCTCATTGCTCTGTGGGCCTCACAGAGGGCTCATTTCCACCAGGATGTCTAAGGAAGGCCGGGAAGGCAGGTGGAAATCTAGCAACTAGTGGAGTCTTTGCTTGTGCACACGTGGTACCACCTTGGACAGAGAGTGGGTGCCCTTGCTCTCCATCCTCACCCCTCCAGAGGCAGGTGAGGGAGTGGGTGACCCAAGGTGGATTCTAACATCTTTCCTCCGTGGTCTTACCTACAATTGTGATGGTGGCTTTAAAGTAGCCGTATCTGTTAATACGGCAGTTTTCATCAGGAATCTCCCTCGGCTCCAGAGCATTGTCACCAGCAGGTACTGGAGAGTCTGAATAACAAGATTTTAGGGTACTTGTTGAGAACGTAAAAGATGTACATGATAGTACCAAAGATCTAAACATTTGTCTACTTGCTCTTTAGAAAAACATCAAGAGTTCTATACTATTAAATTGCTGCAGAAATTTGAACTAAATGGGTAACAATTCATATAGATGTGAGAGCTATAAAGCATTATAAAATTGTTAAATTATGTAAGTAAACACAATCCCGTATCTTGTTCAAGCACAAATATCATATGAAAGGTGGAAGCCATATTAAAATGTGTAGTACAACAATCATGATGAAATAAAGCAGGCCACAACAGATGAAATTATATTGTAATTTTGGAGGAAGGTATTCTGGGCTCAAATTCTAGGCCCCTTGTTTTTAGCTGTTTGAGACCATGGGCATGTCATTTAACCTCTCTTTCCTCAATTTGCTCATCTGTAAAATAGGGACAATACTTACTGACCTACTAGAGTTGAACTATAAAACTTAAATAAAATAAAAAACTTAAATCAAATTTTATAAATAAAATATATAAAACTTGCTTCTCATGTCTGCCATGTAGGAAGTATTTAATAAATATCTGTTTCCTTATCCCAATATGTACTTCTATACATCTATGTAGGTACAGATGTGCTATAACATATATATGTAATAAGATATGAAATTTTAAATGTTAAGGTGGATAATTTTAAATGATAAGAAGGAAACAACATGGAAAAAGGCAATTCTTTCCCTATTTGAGTGTCTCATAGATCCTAAGTTTACATTCTAGAAGTCATACAGTCACTATGATGAGCAGAGGTGTGGGGAAGGAAAGGAGTGAATACAAGATGCTGTTGAAAAATAACCCTTTGAGTGTGGTTAGAGCAAAGAATTTAATGCTCTATTAGTTACAATTTAAAAAGCTCTAATTAAGGTGTGGGTGTTCCATTAACAAGATAAAAAGACTGGAAAGAAAATATAATACTGAAAATACAACATTACTGTCTCAAATTTCCAAAGGCATGAAAATGGACCCAGTTTGGGGGGAATCAAAGCTTCATAAGAGCTGCATCTCTGACATAGGGATATGTAAGTATGAAGCCAATTGGGAGACTTCTCCAGGGCTCCTCAGAGCCTCTAGTGGGTGAATGATTGTGCCTGTGATGCTCCTTTGCTCCTTCGCAGAGCAGTTCTCAGAGCATCTCTGGAAAGTAGCGCTTCATGGCACACACTTTGGGAAATGTTGTTTGGGTAAAACCCAGAAAGGTTCTGATGCCATGCCAGATTCAGATGCAGTGGTTTATTAGCAGGCTTGGCTGTGTCCCCTGAGTTTCACGGTGGTCCTGTGGAAGTTACAGGGTAATCATTCTTCCTATTCTGAGATTTAACTGATGGGCTCCGGAGCAAAAGATATGTTTGTGAAGGGTATTAAAGATGGCTGGCTCTTCCCTAGAAATCTCCTTTTGAAGGTCTTGACAGGTGAAATTTAGCTGTCAAGTTAGAGCATGGAATCATGACCCTGCCATCTTTTAAAATAAAACTTCTCATAAAAGATGACTAATAAATGTCCATGATTTTATCTTTGGTAGAATGCTTATAAAAATGCATGTGGAGTTTTGCAGAGGTATGTACAATGTCAAATCTATATCTGTACATATAAAGTCAAGGTATGATTAAAGGGCTAATGGAGAAAAACTAACACCTTAAAAGACAGATGGGGAAGAAGGTAAGCGTCCTACTTAATTCACTATTTATGTCCCTGTTACTCAGAGAATGGTGTGAGATCCTTTGATTCTTTGGGAAAGTTCTACATGATATGATATATATATGATATATACATATTACATATAATATTACACTGATTGGCATCAGTCTTACAAAGGTTTTTCTTTTTAGATTTGTACACAGAAATGATCAATGGCACGGTTACCTAAGGGAGGAGAATTGCGTGGCTTAAAACTAGAGCATACCTGTCTGCCCTATAATGTAATTATCTTCCTGAATCACCACTTCAGCTCTGCTTCTGTCTCACTCCTTTGGTTGTATTTGGTTTCTATTTAATAGCTGTACTCATTTTGAAGCCACTTACTATAGCAGAGACAACATAATTTTTGGTCAAATAATAATCCAGTGCTCAGTAATCCAAGCCTGTTAATATGCTCTGCATAGCTGAAAATGTTCTCTCTTCCAGAGGACAAGTACCCCAACCCCTTTCTCAAGTCATGGGCGGACTCCTATCATCACCTTGGGTCCCATTACGTATTCCCATCCCTCCATTCCCTAAGTCTCACAGCTGCTCTAAGGCATTTTGGGGTTGATTACGGTTGATCTAACACCTTTAGATAAAGCCAGGCAGTTTCCTTTCACTATGAAATTTAACAAATTCAACAAATTGCTACCTTATATCTTATGGTCTAACCTATAGAAAATAATAACAAATTTAAAATACTCTTTCATTGACTTAAAATATATTTTTTTGCATGTTATGATACAAATATGTTCTAAGAAAAATAAGCTAGCTTTATAAAAATGCAATTCAAGATAGACTAACATTAAATAACCTAACCTTAAGACTTTTACCATTCAGGAATTTCTAGACAGATGTAACAAGCACCTGTAATTTATTTTGAATTTTACACCTGGTCTGCTTATTTGTAAGGAAGACCGATGCTTGTAGATAAATAAATTGACTCTCCTATAGAAATACCAGAATGAAGCTATATGTTTCGAGTTGTTCAATGCAGTTATATTTACAACTGGAATTAGGTTTAACTGAATCATCCACCAGTAAGAGAATGGTTAAATACATAAGCCACTGAATCAAGTGAGTCAGACTTAAATGTACTGATAACGGGAAGATGTCTATGATGTTTGTTAAATGAAAAAAGGCAAACTGTAGAATACATATTTCATGAACCCATCTACCTAAAAATCAAAACCACAAATCCTATATGTATTTATAGAATATGTTTGTAAATATACAGAAAAAGATCCGGAAAGAAACACTACCAACCCTTAACAGGGTTTAACTCTCGAGAGGAGAGCATGAAGAGGAATTTTCACTTTTATTTGAAATTTCTGTATTTGAAGTTTTATTAAGGGACATGCATTAATTTTATAATTTAAAACATTCCAAGAAAGAATTAATCAAAATCGGTAATAACTTATAATGTCTTGCTTTAGATATGCTTGACTTAGCAAGATATTTTTATTAATAACACACTTATTGATAACAGTTTATTATTTATATCTAACAGGTTTGGGTAAAAAAACCAATTGCAACAAGTCTGGACATCATCGTCAAGTGTTCTGTCCCGACTTGGTGATGGTGCCCTCTAGTGTCCAGTGAGAGGATGTCAGTCTATTACCATCCCCGGGATGCCGGCATGGTAAGATGTACTCATGGCTTAGTGGGGAAGGATGGTAATGGTGTGGGGTAGGGTGTAGAATCAGACGGAAGCTAATGCTTCACAAAGTAAACTCTGAAGAACTTCTTGAATGACCTCATATACTATTATTAGAAGGTGGGATTTAAGTAATTATGCCTTATATCTAGAATAATTTTAGTGTCTGGAATCTTTCCAGCCTGCCAGCCAAGAAATATTCTCAAGGTGCATTCTTTTTCGAGCCTATCTGTAAGCTACATTTAAGGGTGGCTGAGTTTTCATGGGACATGGGGTGGATGTGGGCACGGTGGGGAGGAGAATGGAAGTGGGAAGGAAATGTGGGAGGGGGAGGAAGGACAGTGGGATGGCCTGAATGTTTACAAGGGGTCAATGTTTCTTAACCAAAAAAAAAAGGGAGGCAAACAGAAATGTGACAGCCTAGAAGGGGGAAAGCATCCGTACGCATAACAAGGGCCAGTGAGAATTAGGAAGGTCAAGGAGCTGTATCCGAGTCACCAAGTGACTTTAAACACGTTCTCCTTTCTTCCAAACTCTAACAACTAAAAATGGTGATAAAGTAGCTAAACGAAATCAACAGGTAGAAAATGGAATCATTGCAGAGTTTTTACACAGTCTCTTTAACTAAGGATCTAATTATACAACCCACATGAATTTTTTTTCTGGCTGTTAAGGAACCCTGACAACAAAAAAGACCTGGAAAACACTTACCCAAAGAAGCGGTGGTTTTTGGAGGTCTGGGTGAAGGTGAAGGACAAGGTCCAGGCACTGTAGCTTGCACAGTGAGGTTGAGACTGAAGGTTCCATTGAGAACATAGGTGTGGTTCAAAGTGTGATTGTTGGAAACAAACAGACCAGTATTATCCCCAAAGTTCCACTTGTAGTAAATGGCAGACTCATTGAGGAAGTGGCTGGGATCATGAATCAGGACATCGAACGTAATGGGGAGGTCCTTGAGGAAGGTTTCATCAGATGAATTTCGATTGTTCTTCTGGGACATAGTCACAAATACAGGAATCTGATCTAAAAGATATATCCCCCCCCACCAAAAAAAAAAAAAGAAAGAAAGTCACCACTGCTTGACTTTAAGTGGATGACTTTAATGTTTTTAAACTAAAAACGTTAGAAATTAAAATTAGGGATAATTCAGCATCATTTTCCCTTTTCTTATACAAGTGTGCTAGAGTTTCCCCAGGTTGTTCTGGAAAACATAGATGGAAAATGTTATTAAATATATAAGGTTGAGAAGGAGTCCAGATGACATCTAACCTAACCCAGAATACTTGGCTCGAACTCTTTCTAACCCACTGACATCATCAGAACTAAGTGTCTCACGCTCAGTTAATTTAGAGTTCAGTCCACTCACCTGTTACCACATACACATCTTTCACTTTTGCTATGGGAACGTACGCCCGTCGGTATCTTCTATAGACAGTTACTTCCATGATTTGAGGGCCAAGAGTCACATTGGCTGTGTTTATAGAAACTCTCACTGAACACTGTCCCAGTTTCTGGAAATACTGACCTTTGAGAGGATGGAAATGTTTAGTTATTGGCTACATTATATGATCATTACAGAAAGTTGATGTTTCTTAAAGCATAACAACTGCCATTTAGAGATAGTTCTGGGAAAGGGAAAACAGGATGGGGATGCAGTCCTGGCTCCTTCAGAAAAGAAGGCGGTGCTCATTTTCATATAAAACCTTATAAAACAATCTCACAAACATAAATGTAGTTGTATACAGTTGATTAAAATGAAAAGAGCTGTTTAGTGGGATGCCATTAGTCCTTAGTTTACAAATAAATAATTTGTATAAGGAAGTGATCTGGCACTTGAAATACATATGTTTCCCCCAGAAAATACATTTGATGTAGGTATCCAAGGGAGTTAAAAATATATCCAAAAATCTACCTTATTTTTGTAACAATATTAGTAGTTCAGCTATATTGTTAAGTAACTTTTTTCTTTTAGGGAACTAGAATCCTCCACCTTCTAGTAGTGTTTGTTTATAAAAATGCAGTAAGTGATGAAAAACAAACAGGGTATTGTGGTTATAAAAAGGAACGGAGTAGTTCCATTAACATTTCTAGGGCCCTTGAATCCTTCTTTTTCTTTCTCCAACTCTAACCTAATCTAACTGCCACTGGCTAGCTAGTGAAAGTAATTCCTCTCCTTCAGGGCTCGAGGATTTTTCTAATCCTTTTGAGGCACCTGGCACAGATGTGTCATTGAAACAACAAGTATTGTAAGATGGATGCTTGTGAGACGGAGATGTTTAAAGACCATGTTCATCACGTGGTCAAAGGTGTCAGGAAAGGGACGACTTCCCTGGTGGGCCAGTGGTTAAGATTCTGTGCTTCCACGGCAGGGGCCACGGGTTCGATCCCTGGTCGGGGAACTAAGATCCCACACGCCGCGAGTTGCAGCCCAAAAAATAGAAAATAAAGCGTCAGGAAAGGCTTGCGATCCCCCTTTACCTTGAAATGAAGAGCCAGTTCTGTTAGAGGTTACAGGGGGAAGAGGTGTCTCTTGGAATTAGTGATACGTGAGGAAATGTTAGTTCTGGCACCGACCACAGAGGCAGCGCTTGGCTGAGGAAAAATATTACTCAACTCTGAGACCTCAGCAGAAGATGGAAATTCAAAACCGTCCTGTTAGGAAAACAGCGGTTTCTGGGCTGGAAACTGATGTTAAATAAAGACAGCTTAACTAGTTAAGTTAATGGTTGTTAACTAGGCTGAACAGAATCTGGAGTGTTAGTGAGCCTAAGTGACTCCATGCAAACTGTCAGGTCAAAGAAATCATGACACTTGGGGAATTAACTGACAGGGCCATGAAGGGACTGAAAAAAGTCGGCTTTATATCAGCTGATTTAAATAGACGAGCATAGTACTTGTTATATATTTTGTACTCTGTTCAATTGGACCATGTATTATTAATATGTTATTTTGATTTATAAGTAAGTTAACTGAAGAAAGAGAAGCTGTCTGTAATTCATGGAGACAGACCAAACATTTAGAGATTTGGAGTCTGCATGGCTGGTAGCAGATTTGCAATACTCAGAGCCAGGTGGCCCCTGGTAAGATTTTTAACTAAGAATTTAGCAGCTTTGCTAATAACCTAAATTTAGTCCTCCTTAAAAAAAAAAATCACTTCACTAATAGTAAAGCAAAGTGGATACCGTTTGTGGTTAAAAAAAAAAAGAGGGTAGGCTATGTCAAAGAAGAAGAGTAGTTAGATTATTATACTTTTACTCAATAGAATATTATGCAGTCATTAAAATAATGTATATAAAAAAGTTTAGAGAACTCTCACGCGGTCCAGTGGTTAGGACTTGGTGCTTTCACTGCCGGGGCCTGGGTTTGATACCTGGTCAAAGAATTAAGATCCCACAAGCCATGCAAGAATTTTAGTCAATGCTCATGATATTGATCAAAATGTATATATTTTATGATCTTAATCAAGAAACACTAAGAAAAAAGAAAGAAAGAAATACTGGTAGAGAAAACACCATCATGTTAACAATGATAATCTCTGGTGTGAATTATGGTGACCGATTTTTCATTTGTGTTTTTCTGCATTTTCCAAATTTCCTACAAAGAGCATCAGTTAAATTCTTAAAATTCTTTTAAAAACATAAAAAAATTAGATAATAAATCAGCAAATGCCCATCTGTGTGCGATGCAAATAAATAAATATTATTTTTCATATTACTGTTTTAGACGGAAAAAAATTGAGTAGTTTTGTCTTAAAAAAAAGAAAGCTGAACCTGTCTTTTTCTCGTTTTAATTATTTGATGTCCTGGAGATATGGCAAGGCTAACCAAGATTTAATTTTTATCCCTCACCCTCCACTCCAGCTAAGGAAAGTTAGAAGAGTAACTGTTGTTAAACTCCCAGGGTTGTAATTCTCAATTATAGAATACGGAAAGAGAAAAAATTTAAAATTTGAAGGAAAGGTAAAGAAGCAGCTAAGGGGGTTTGTAAAAGTCCAACCAAGTGTGTGGAACACAAAGACGAAATTCCATTTTCGGGGGTGAGGGAAAGGCTTCCCGTGATGGCCTTGTCTGGTGCCATTTCCCCAGTCACCGTCCTCTGTCCATGCTGTCCAGTTGTAAACATATGGGTCAGGAGATGGACCAGTATCTAAAGAGAGAAAGGAACACGCCGTGATTGACTCAGAATACTCAATGCTCTTCATTGAATTAAACACATTTTCATATTTTTTCGTAACTCATTTAAATATGGTTGGAGAACTAAAACCCTAATATTCAGAATTCATCTAATGGTACCTTTACGACCTGTGCATTTTTCTGCCTACATGTTATATTTCAATGAGTTTTATATAAAGCAATTTTTCAGGAAATTTAGAGCTATCACTTAATATGTTTATTTTCATATTGGGTCTCCAAATCACAAGCATATTCAAACCAAACCGAGGGATGCTGTATCTTTTTACTTTGATACACTCTCTCTATCTGTAGCTTTTTTTCCCTGATTCATTTGACATCATGACTCTCCTAAAGACTTCAGCACACATCTCCAAAGAATAAGGACGTTCTCTTACATAACCACGTCATTGCCCCGCCTACCACAGTCAAGGGTCACATCATACATTTGGCTATTTTGTTTCTTCAAATGATTCAGAAAGAAAAAAAGAAATATGCCTAGAAATGTAGATAGATGATAGATACATAGATAGGTAGATAGATAGATGGAAACAGGAAAAAAATGTTAAATTTGTTGAATCTCGAAGTACCTGCTTTCTACTTTTCTGTATGTTTGGGAAAACATCAGTTTTCCATTTTAAACAAGTCATGATCAATATCTTTTCATCTAGAACAATCCCCCCACCCTCTTGTTTTTTTCATGTCACTGACATTTATGAAGAGCCTTTTTATTTATCAATCTACTACAGCCATTATTTTTTTATTCTTAAATTGTTCCAAATATGGCCAGTAGGAGCCCCTCTAGCTGCCTTCCGTGTCCCTGTGACATGTCCCCATTACTCCCTTGTTTTCTGGGACAACAAGATGTCCCTGGTTCATGTGGTACTTTCCCTGTCCTACACCTGGAATTAGTCATTTCTTCAAAAATTCTAGTTTCTTCTAGTGGTGATATATACTTTATATAACTTTTCATAAGTCACAAGGACTCTTTCATATAAAAGTGCTCAGAGGGTTAGATTGCCATTTGAAACATTCATAAGAGTTAACTTTTTTAGAAGGAAAGAAAAAATGCTACAGACGATTATAAACAACACTTTTTAATTATCAAACTCTTTCTACACAGAATTCATTGTTTGCTTCATAGGAAGATGAAGAATTAATAAGAAATAAACACATCAACTGTTTCACAGAAGTTCTAAGTAATAAAATGAGATCATAACTGCACTTATCAGCCTTGTTACTGACTGAGGAATCTCAGTAATTACCTGAACTTTTAAGGCTGTACAGTTCTAACAAGATAATCCCCCTTGATGTACTTGTAATCATTTGTGCTCTTTAACATGGGCAAAGAGCTTATCTGCTTTAACTAAGAGCAAAGCAACACCAAAATAGACACATCTTAGCATTTGTGCTAGGCACACAGTTTAAGGAATTCTTGTGAGCAGAAGCCTATCTGATTAACAAAGATCTGACAAACTGACTATTCTTCGAGTAGCCAGAAGAAGTCCAAGTAATAAAACCCAAATCTGAGAATCAACAAGGTATTCTCTGTCCAATCAACTGGGCACTAAGAAAAGGCCAAGCCTCGGGACTTCCCTGGCGGTCCAGTGGTTAAGACTCCGAGCTCCCAGTGCAGGGGGGCATGGGTTCGATGCCTGGTCAGGGAACTAAGATCCCACATGCAGCAAAGGGCAGCCAAAAAAAAAAAAAGGCCAAGCCTCCCAACGTAGATTTGAGGAGAGTTCCAAGTAGTGGAGAGACACCCATTGGCCAAAATGGATTTGACTGATGTTGATGGAGGGACATATTCACATTCCCTGTCATCCAACTTGAGGAGGGGGTGACAAGGGACAACTGCAGCATCTTGCATTTATAGAAGTACCTGTGAGCATTAAGGTTTATGAGGAGGGTCTCCAGTAGTTAGGAGAACTAGCATGTTCCTGTAATGTGACTAACATTCCTTACCGTTTCTGAAGTTCTTCTCATAGACTATGTTGCCACTGGCACCTTCCTGTTGGCATCTGGGGAATACCAGGTTCACTGCGAATGTTATAGTTGAGCCCACCAGTGCCGGCGCATCACTGGTAAGGAGTGCCTGCACGCGGCCTCCTAGGACATAGAAAGGTGGAGCTCAGTCAAACACCTCTGTTCCCTTTCACTGATAAACAAAAAGAAGTAAAATCAAATCTACAAATAAGAGCCAGAGGATCCTTACGCCTCTTTACAAACTATTTGCAGAATTCTTCACTTTTGCTGTCAGAGTACAACATTCCAGAAGACAAACTTAAAAAGTCAGACCAATTGAAGCACTCTCTAACCACAGAAAGAACATTTCCTTAAAATAATTAAAAATCTATTTAATTGGATTGAGGAGACAGGTATTAAAGGTTTGCAATTTTCAATTTCAAGACCAATGACTGAAGGATTCATTGGCTTTTGATATGAACAGAAAGATATTCACTTTCTGAGAAACCACACTTTTGAGATGGTCAAAGTGCCCTGGAGTCTCAGAACTTCTGAAGATGACCATTCCCACATCAGTTACTTAAGTTTGAGGCCAAACCTGCTTGCTCTTCGAAATCTTCCAAGAGGCACCAGTTGCAAATTTCTAAGGCGATTTTACCCTGCGTGTGGTGGGGGAGAGGAGTTTAGAAAGTGATAGTGTTGAGATAAAGGAAAGATTGCCAAATCCAGGTGCCTCCCACTTGGTAGCTAGAGTGCTGTCATTCATGGACGCACCATGAGCCCTGTGATCTGCAATCTACAAGACTAACTGAAATAAGAAATTACAGCTGTTTGGCGGATGCAACCGAATCAAACTTACAAGCTTTTGCACAGCCAAGGGAACCATAAACAAAATTAGAAGACAGCCTGCGGAATGGGAGAAAATATTTGCAAACGATGTGACTGACAAGGGATTAATTTCCAGAATATACAAACAGCTCATACAACTCAACAACAAAAATCAAACAACCCAATCGGAAAATGGGCAGAAGACCTAACTAGACATGTCTCCAAAGAAGACATACAGATGGCCAATAGGAACATGAAAAGATGCTCAATATTGCTAATTATTAGAGAAATGTAAATCAAAACTACAGTGAGGTATCAACTCACACCAGTCAGAATGGCCATCAACAAAAAGTCCAGAAATAATAAATGCTGGAGAGGGTGTGGAGGAAAGGGAACCCTCTTACACTGTTAGTGGGAATGTAAATTGGTACAGTTACTATGGAAAACAGTATGGAAGTTCTTCAAAAAACTAAAAATAGAATTACCACATGACCCAGCAATCCCACTCCTGGGACTATAGCCAGACAAAATTATAATTCAACAAGATACATGATCCCCTATGTTCACAGCAGCACTGTTCACAGTAGCCAACACATGGAACAACCTACATGTCCATCAACAGATGCATGGATAAAGAAGATGTGGTACAGATATACAATAGACTACTACTCAGCCATAAAAAAGAATGAAATAATGCCATTTGCAGCAACATGGATGGACCTAGAGTTTATCATACTAAATGAAGTCAGAAAGAGAAAGACAAATACCATACGATAGCACTTATGTGTGGAATTTAAAATATGACACGAACCTATCTACGAAACAGAAAGAGACTCACAGACATAGAGAACGGACTTGTTATTGCCAAGGGGGAGGAGAGGTTGGGGACGGATGGACTGGGAGTTTGGGGTCGGCAGATGCAAACTGTTACATATAGAATGGATAAACAACAAGGTCCTACTGTATAGCGCAGGGAGCTATAGAACTATATTCAATATCCTGAGATAAACCATAATGGAAAAGAATATTAAAAAAAAGAATGTGTGTCTTCATATATATATGAACATATAAATAAATATATATCGGAATCACTTGGCTGTAAGCAGAAATTAACACAACATTGTAAATTAACTATACTTCAGTTAGAAAAAATTGAATCACTATGTTGTACACTTGAAATTAAAAAAAAAAAGAAATTACAGTTGTTTTGGTTGAGTCTTTTGATTTACCTTTCCAAGAGTTTTTCCACCTCGAGTCTCCCCTCTTCCACACTGGATAGAGTTTTTCATTCCAGTCATTTTCATCTGATGACCAGCCATTTAATTGCCTGTGCTCCCGCATATAACCAGAAGGTCTTTCATTGCTCAGCACATCATGAACGCCTATAAAAATATTGGAAAAAAAAATTATTTTGTCTACCTCATCTCTCATTTAGTATTATCTAACAATGGTTAAAGCAACTTTTCACTTCATAAGATTGGAAAGCACATACATAGTATTTCCAATATGTGAAGCAGATAGAAGGTGCTTTTTAAAAAAATGTGTACTGGAAATACCTTGAATACAAGTACTCAGACCCTAGACCCTATCTCTTTACGTACTTTAAGTGGATCAAGGAAAAGTTTTGAATGTCAGTATTTCTTAGACATCATTTGGTTTCTCAAAACATGTCTTCTGAATATTTGGATTTGATACACTATCATTAGGAAAGACAGTGATGCCAATGATCTTCAGAACAGTTTTTCATCTTTTTCCATTCTGAATGGTTTACTTGGCTCAAGGAGTGCCAGGCTGAGGAATGCCTCCAAGGTTCCAGGAGACATGTACCAGTCCTGGAGGGCCCACTGCTGAACAAATGTTTTTATGGCCCAGCACATGGTCTGTCTTGGTGAACGTTCCATATACAGTTGTGTAGTATTGTGTTTTTTTAATGTCACTTATGTCAAGTTGGTTGGTATTGTCTTTGGCAACTTCTCTGTTCCTGTTGATTTTCTGTGTGCTTGTTATTTCGTTACTGAAAGAGGAACGTTGAAATCTTCAACTGTAATTATGGATGTGCCAATTTGCCAACTTTGTCTTTCAGTTGGCCTTATCTGCTTTATGTATTTTGAAGCTCTATTTTAAATTGTTAAGTCTTCTTGATGAATTGACCCTTTTAACATTAGGAATTGACTTTTTTTTCTTTGCTAATATTCCTTGTTCTGAAGAATACTTTGATATTAGTGCTTAGTGTTTAACTGGTACATCTTTTTCCATCCTTTTACTTTGTTTTACATATTTAAAATTTTTTTAATTAATTTATATTTATTTTTGGCTGTCTTGGGTCTTCATTGCTGCACGCGGGATTTCTCTAGTTGTGGCGAGTGGGGGCTACTCTTCATTGTGGTGCTCAGGCTTCTCATTGTGGTGGCTTCTCTTGCTGCGAAGCACAGGCCCTAGGCGCGTGGGCTTCAGTAGTTGTGGCACACGGGCTCAGTAGTTGTGGCTCACGGGCTCAGTAGTTGTGGCTCACGAGCTTTAGAGCACAGGCTCAGCAGTTGTGGTGCACCGGCTTAGTTGCTCTGTGGCATGTGGAATCTTCCCAGACCAGGGATCAAACCTGTGTACCCTCCATTGGCAGGAGGGTTCTTAACCACTGTGCCACCAGGAAAGTCCCCATCCTTTTACTTTTAACCTATAAATATTTTTATATTTGAAGTGAGTTTCTTGTAGACAGCATACTGTTTTTTTAAAAAAAATAGTCTAATAATTTTTACCCTTTATTTGGAGTGTTTAGGTAATTTACATTTAATGTAATTATCAATATTGTGGGATTTGTCTACTATATGTTTTCTATTTATCCAATCTGTTCTTTATTCCTTTTTTCTTCTTTTCTTATACTTACTGGGATTATTTTTGGATTCCATTTTATCTGCATTATTGACTTATTAGCTATACCTCTTTGTTTTGAGTGGTTGCTCCAGGGTTTATAGTATTCCACTTCTTTTAAATTTCTTTCCAATCTTGATGTCTGTCTTTTTGCCTTTCCTGATAAGTCTGGTGGTCACATTGTCTGTCCTTTCTTTGAGGACTGTAGCAGACAGTTCCTGCCTGCACCTGTCCTCTTTCTCTTGTTGCAGAGTTTTTACCATAATGATTCAAAATTCTAGAGGATCACTTTCCTAGCTTTCCTTACAGTTTGGGCAGGAACTGATGATTAGATCCTGGCTGACGGGAGCTGAGTGTAAGTCTGATGGAGGCTTCTGGGAAACATTTTTCTCTATTATTAAAAAAAAAAAGTGGGAAAAAACTCCATTTTTTCCGCCTGAGAATTGATTTTGGAGACAGTAGTATAATGATGTGATGCCTGGACTGTGACAGCCATATTTAACCATGAGGGAAAAAATCTGAGGAAGCAGGCCAGCACACCAAGGGTGTCAGAATAGATGGATGAAAAGAAAGAGTCCTTGACAATATTGTTGAGCTCTTCCTCCAGCCTTGTCTACCTTTGGGTGGATTGAGATGATAAATGTCTTACTCAACCTATTTGAGTATCTGTTACTCACAGGCAAAAGCTCCACTGTCTATAACCCTTGGCAGCCCCTAATCATACACTGCTATAAACTGTTGTCTCATCTAGTCATATGGTCTTGTGTCTTGGTCTGGCTATGGACTCAGAGCCAGGAATGCTGCCTCTTCTCTTACATCCTGAAAGAGGCCTCCTATGAGGGGCGGTATTTAGAAGGTACTCAGAGAAGCCATACTGAATGGATGCCACTAGCCTCTGCCTTCTATTCCTCTTTGTTGGTAGGAGGAAGGGGAAGCATGTAATTGCCTTCTTATAATGGAGGCAGATGGAGTGGGAAAGAACATTGAGCTGGAAGTTACAGAACCCACTACGAAACAGGCTGTGGGATTTCAGGCCATGTTTCTTCTCTGGGCCTTCACATCAGGCAAAAAACCACATGTCCTGTGATACTGTGAGATAGTATCTGTTTCCAAAAAGGAACAAAGTGAGGGCAGGAAATTTATGTTTATCAATAAATGTTTATTATAACTGGAAATTCAGTTGAATGTTGAGTCATGGAATGGTAGAATGTTCGATATAGAAAGAACTAAGAGTAGTTCGTTCAAATCCTTTCATTTACAGACGAAGAAATTCAGGCCTAGGGCTTCCCTGGTGGCGCAGTGGTTGAGAGTCCACCTGCCGATGCAGGGGACATGGGTGCGTGCCCCAGTCTGGGAGGATCCCACATGCCGCGGAGCGACTGGGCCCGTGAGCCACGGCCGCCGAGCCTGCGCGTCCGGAGCCTGTGCTCCGCAACGGGAGAGGCCACAACAGCGAGAGGCCTGCGTACCGCAAAAAAAAAAAAAAAAAAAAAAGAAATTCAGGCCTAGAGAAGTGATACGATTCACTCAGAGTCATCTGTAATCAAGTAGAAATGAAGATTGGCATCTTTGAGTCCCAGGATCAGATTTTTCTACTCTTCCGAAGTCTTCCTCTTCCTCAGATCCTGAGTGAATGTCAGTGTTTCCAGAAACATAATCCAAACACAGATTTCTCCTCTGATTTTAAATGTCAAAAGTCTGGGCTTCCCTGGTGGCACAGTGGTTAAGAATCCACCTGCCAATGCAGGGGACACGGGTTCGAGCCCTGGCCCGGGAAGATACCACATGCTGCGGAGCAACTAAGCCCGTGCACCACAACTACTGAGCCTGTGCTCTAGAGCCCATGCGCTGCATCCACTGAAGCCCCCGTGCTCTAGAGCCCGTGCTCAGCAACAAGAGAAGCCACCACAATGAGAAGCCCGGGCACTGCAATGAAGAGTAGTCCCTGCTCGCCGCAACTAGAGAAAGCCCGTGTGCAGCAACGAACACCCAACACAGCCAAAAAATAAATAAATAAATAAAAATAAATTGAAAAAAATAAATGTCAAAAATCAAGGAAAAATACAAACTTAAAAGGCAAGTGACAAGGAATAGACAGATAGGCCCACAGAACAGACTATAAAACCCAGAAATAGACTCACAGATACGCCCTACGGATTTTTGCAAATATAATCCAATGGAGAAAAGATAGCCTTTCAACACATGGCACTGTAAAAAAGTAAAAAAACATAGGAAAAATCTTCAGGTTCTAGGTAGGCAAGAATTCTTAGACTTAACACCAAAATTTATAATTTTTTATTTTTTTTAAATAAAAAATTATAATTTTTATAAAATTATAAATTATTTTGTAATTTTTTATTTTTTTAAATTTTTTATAATTCTTAGACTTAACACCATAATTTATAACAGGAGAAACTGATAAACTGGGCCTCATTAAAATTAAAAAATTTTGCTCTGTGAAATACCATGTGAAGAGGGTAAAAAGGCACATTACAGGGAGAAAAATATTTGCAAACCACATTTCCAAAACAGGAATAATATCTAGAACATATAAAGGATTTTCAAAACTCAGTGTTAAAAAATCAAATAATCCAGGTAAAAGACCTGACCAGACATTTCACAGATGTGGATGTACAGAAGACAAAGTAACACATGAAAAGATGTTCAATATCATTAGCCAGTGAGTAAATGCACATTAAAACCACAATGAGATATCACTGCATACCTATCAGAAAGACTAAAATGAAAAATACTGACATCAGGGGCTTCCCTGGTGGCTCAGTGGTTAGGAATCTGCCTGCCAATGCAGGGACCATGGGTTCAAGCCCTGGTCCAGGAAGATCCCACATGCCACAGAGCAACTAAGCCCATGAGCCACAACTACTGAGCCCCCGCACCACAACTGCTGAAGCTCGTGTGCCTAGAGCCTGTGCTCTGCAGCAAGAGAAGCCACCGCAATGAGAAGCCTGACCACCACAACGAAGAGTAGCCCCTGCTCGCCCTGACTAGAGAAAGCCCACACGCATCAACGAAGACCCAATGCAGCCAAAAGTAGAATAAATAAATTAAAAACAAATGACATCAGATGTAGGTGAAGATGTAGAGAAACTGAATCACTCATACACTGCTGGTGGAAATGGTACCACCATTCTGGAAAACAGTCTGGCAGTTTCTTGTAAAACTAAACATGCAATTACTATGCAACCAAGCAGTCGTACTCATGGGCATTTGTCCCAGAAAAATGGAAACTTATGTTCACATAAAAACCTGTACATTAATGTTCAGAGCAGCTTTACTCATAATAGCCTAAGCTGCAACAACCCAGAAATTTTTCAGTGGGCGAGTGGCTAAACTGTGGTACATCCATGTAGTCCGGCATACCACTCAGTGATAAAGAACTGGCTACTGATACACACAACAACCTCAATAAATTATGTTGAGTAAAAAAGAGCCAGTTCCCCTAAATTACATACTGTATGATTCCATTTCTCTAATGTTCTTGAAGTTACAAAATTATAAAACTAGAGAATGGATTAGTGGTTGCCAGGGGCTGGGGGTTGGGTGGAGTGGGAAAGGGAAGTGGGTTTGGATCTTTGTGGTGATGTGACTGTTCTGTATTTTGACCGTGTCAAGGTCAATATCTTGGTTGCCACATCGTACTACAACTTTGCAAAATGTTACCATTGGGAGAAACCCCGTAAAGAGTACATAGCGGGGACCTCTTTGTATTATTTCTTGAAAGTGCATGGGAATCTACAATAACCTCAAAATAAAAAGTAGAATTAAAAAATAGAATAAAAAATTAAAAAAAACCCAACAGTAAGAGTTTAAAAAAGAAAGTGGTGAGGGGAATAGATGTGAAGGTAAATGGGGTCACACCCAGCACCCCTGTGGCTGTTCCCTCTACCCTTCGGACGCCCTGCTCTACTAGCAGAGACATGGCGGCTTGGCCACTTGTGAGCTACTCTGTCAATAGCCTCTCCTTCCTCTTTTTACCACGGCTGTGACTGGAAAATGGCAAGGAATCCCTTGGTGTCTTATATACTGCTAAATTCTACCCATCCTTATTTTTTGCGGCCAGGATATTCTTCTTAAGGCAAGGTGAAGCCAGGCACAGCAGGTTTTGTTACGTGGTAATAGGTTGGGCCTCCTCTCAAACTGCCGGCCAGCCTCAGGCTGATCTGCCTTGCTGAGCAGAGCAAGGGGGTGCTGGTGGACCGAAGGCTAGAATTAGGTGCGGGGGCCAGTCACTCGTGGTCCAGCCCCACGGCTGGCAGGAAGGACAGCGGCTGCCACGAAAGCCTTCCTCGTCCTCGTATCCGCCGTGCGGCCCTTCCCCCTTGCCTGGGACAGGGGAACAGCGCCAGCTTGCCCGGCATCCCCGGGCTGTTGCAAGGCCCCGTGCGGCCCAGACGAGTGACAAATCCCGGGTCGCCGCTCTCCGGCCCGGCCCCGCGCCGGCACAGCCCCTGCATCTGGGCTCCTGGGTCAAAGTCGCTGCTCCTCTTCCTGCCCCGTCACCGGCCTCAGCGCTGGCGGCACAACTGGCCTCCCGACACTCTCCTCCCCTACCCCCCAGCCCAGGTCCCCATCCCGGAACCCCAGCACCGCGGGCTCCCGGCGCGCCCAGCGCCCCCCCCCCCCCATTCCACGAGCCTGCAGCGCCCCCCTCTCTTTCTCCTCCACCCAGCCGCCGCCGGGCATCGCACTCTGCAAGGACCTCTTCGCTGTAGGGCTTTTCTCTCCCGCTGGGAGGAGTGAGAGGAACGCGTGCACGTGTGTCCAGGATCCTCCACTCTCCGATCTGGGCCCAGCAGGTGAAAAGCCGGACCTGGGCTCGTTTGCTCACCCGTTAAAGAGTGGGAGGACCATGTGCTCCACAAAGGGGGCTGTGAGGACTAGCCGACTGGTTTAAGGCGGCGAGCTCGGTGAGCACACATGGTGGGTCCCTTCTCAGCGCCGACCTTCCCCCTCCTCCCTCCCGTGGGGTCGTCTGGCAAAATCAGGACTTTTCCTCCAGGGAACGTTGTCACTCTACTGGAGTGAGGTGGAGTGGACCTTCTGGGAGATGTCTAATTCACTTCCTTCTCCCACTCCACTGGAGGATAGGGGCTGCCATGGCCGCCCATCCCCTGGACTGGACAAGTGGGCCACGGGTGAGCTCAGTGGCTCGCAGCTCTGGCTTCCGTTCCAATCACAAGAGGAGATTTTTAAACAAGGATGCTCCAACCCCACCTCCAAAGATTCTCATCTCATTGATCTGGGCATCAGCATTGTTAAAAAGTCCCCAGCCTCTACTCTAACTAGAAAAGAGACCCAGGGCTTTAGCGCTTTTCTCAGTATCCTCACTACAGTGGCAGCAAACTCCTGCAGGTCTGTGAAAACCTATCAGCAGGATTTTTTTTTTTGTCAAGCGGCTTGTGGGATCTTAGTTCCCTGACCAGGGATCAAAGCTGGGCCCTCGGCAGTGAAAGCATGGAGTCCAAACCACCAGGGAATTCCCTCAGCAGGATTGGCGATAGCTTCTGGGTGGGGATTATTAGAAAGTCTGATTCCAGATTTTGGGCCCCATTTCATCTGAGGCTCTTTCCTGTTGGATGGCAACGAAACAAAATTTAGTGGGTAGCGTTGCTGTGGTCTCAAGCCAGAGACTGTGCCCTTCATCACCGCACCCCCCCCCCCCCGCAATGTCTCTAACAGAGTGGGTGGCAATTTTGGTAAAAAGCTCCACAGCAGAGGGGCTGCACTTCTTTCACTTCAAGAGCCTGGAGCAAAGAATGGGGACTGAACGCATTCTGCCGTACTTTCAACATCCCCAACGGTTTTCAGAAGAAGAAACAAGTGAGCGTGAAATCTTCCTAAAGTCCAACTTTGGGCTCAGGCAGAGTTACTTCAGACAAACCCATCACTTCAGACAATAGCCAGAGAATGGGTTAAAAATACAGAAATGGACAGTTACTCACGTTTGGCAGCATCAAGTGGCAGTCTTGCAGCCAGCAGCAGAAATCCCAGGAAACAGTAGAGACATTCCATGCTGAATTCTCACGGATCCCGGCAATCAAGGTTTAACTTGTAACTCCTCTGGCTCTATCCGCTAAGAGCAACAGTGTTCTTCTGGTTTTTGCTGTGCTCCACTCCTTATTTTCATTAAATATGGGCCTCGGGGCAGATCATGTGATGGTATTAAGCTGCATGGCTTGATCTGGTCTCTGGAGTTCAACCACTCATGTGCTTCTGACTCACTTGCTCTTAGTATCTATTTATTCACTTTTCAGATGCACACCATTGCAGTGTTGCTATTCCATATTTCTGGTTAAAGGGACTTCCTTTCCTATGGGTCCTATTTTGATAGCCTTTCCCAAATAAAATTTCAATCTCCAACCTCACTGATTTTTTTTAATTTTTGAAATGTTTTGTTATCTTATATTTTGAACTAGATTCTGTTCATTCATTCTGTTCGTTTTTGAACTTTTGAATTTTATATACAGCAGGTTCTTATTAGTCATCAATTTTTTTAAAAATTTATTTATTTTTGACTGTGTTGGGTCTTCGTTTCTGTGCGAGGGCTTTCTCTAGTTGTGGCAAGCGGGAGCTGCTCTTCATCGCGGTGCGCGGGCCTCTCACTATCGCGGCCTCTCTTGTTGCGGAGCACAGGCTCCAGATGCGCAGGCTCAGTAGTTGTGGCTCACAGGCCTAGTTGCTCTGCGGCATGTGGGATCTTCCCAGACCAGGGCTCGAACCCGTGTCCCCTGCATTAGCAGGCAGATTCTCAACCACTGTACCACCAGGGAAGTCCAGTCATCAATTTTATACACATCAGTGTATACATGTCAATCCCAATCGTCCGATTCATCACACCACCTTCCCCACCTGCCGCTGCTTTCCCCCCTTGGTGTCCATACGTTTGTTCTCTACATCTGTGTCTCAATTTCTGCCCTGCAAACCGGTTCATCTGTACCATTTTTCTCCAACCTCACTGATTATTAACTTGCTGTGACTCGTTTGGTGATTCACTCACCCAGCTCATGTTGAAATGTCACAATTATGCTTCTTTTGCCATAATTTAGACGACCACCTCTTCCCAGCACTAGCTAGTGCTTGTACATCTCCTTCCCCCAAGAGGAAACTAAGACGGGGAGCGATCTCTTCCATCACTTGAAATGGTGGATGACATACATGGATAAAAACATACGCTGTGCCGAAAGGGGACTGAAGTAGCTGCACCACCTCCAGTAGCTGAGAAATTTACTCAAAAGTGCATTTAGGATATCTGTGCAATTCCATATAACTTTTGGAACCACCTGCATCATTTTTGATAACTGCTCTCAAAGCATTTACTTGTGTTGTATCACTCAGGACCAACTGCATTCAACATACAGCATATTTACTTCATGTTACAGAAAGCAAGCATTAAATGTAAAAACAAGCTCGCCTAGAACATACATCTTATCAAATCGTTTCTGGTTACAGAATGTGCAGAAAATGTGGCAACATGACTTTACTGCATGTGATCGTTCTCTAAGTCACACCCACATAACCGTTTTCAGTACACATAGAAGCCCTGGTCAGGGGTGAGGGGAAAATTTGTGGTAGTGATTTATGTTTCAGTTGTGCTAATGATGAATAGAAATAAATAGTCTGTGAAACTCCCTACCCTAAGGCCACACACAGCTCTTTAGAGCTGCTTTTACAGCCTTTGAAGCAAATATGAAGCGAGCAACAGGGAAGGGAACAAATGCAAAACTGAAACAAAACTGTTTTCAAATACAGATGAGTAAGTGAATAATGGAAGTAGCTGTTGGTTTTATGTAATGTATATTACATAAATTACATATAATCTATATAGTTCTGTTTTCTTTTTACAACAAACATGAATAACTTTTATAATTAAGAAAAGCTCTTCAGTGTAGGGGAAACTCACTATTGATTTTTGAAAAGTATGATTTCCCTTTGTTGCTTACGATTAGTTCTGGCCTCTATTTTTGGCCAGATTAGCTCTTTCTGTCTCTAAGAAAACTGGAAGTGTCAGACTCTTAGGTAAGGAGATCTTATTTAGGGTGACAGACACAATGATCAAGTCTTCTCTCCTTCCCTCTCCCGTCAACAGGCGATAGCAATGAACTAAGGCAACAGGCAAAAGGTAGGCAGCTGGATGGAGGCCAAGGCACCAGAAATTCTTAATTTCAAAGCACCACAAATTGGCTAATCAGTGCCTTGATAATCAACAGCTGACAACATATAAAGTCCTTTGTAGGTTTCAAGATACTGGGCTATTTTGGATAAGAAATATCTTCAAGCTTGTTTTTCTTTCCTTGCAAAATAAAATTATACTGTGAAAAAGGTTTGAAATAGTTCCTTCAAAGAAGGGAAGCCTCGCAATTACCTGGTATTATCCACATGATTATCCTGGTGGAAATGCTGTTGAGCAAATAGTCAACTTCTGAGAACGTCCTAAATGGCCTCTCAGCGGCCTGGGTTCTGGCACCCCTCGTGCAGCCACAGTCCCAACCTGAGGAGTAGCCCCTGAGCTGGGAGAAAGGTAGCAGCCACCTCAAGGAAGGCTCGTGGAGGGGCAGGTGGCAGCCACGCCCAGGTGTCACGGCAGGCGGTGGGGGAGTTCCCTTTAGTTTTAGGAATTTTTTAGTTCAAACTGCTGTTTTTAAGCAAGATAATAAAAATGAAGGCCCTTTCCTCTCCAACTCTTGTAAATAGCTGTTGGATGAGTTCTCTATCGCCACCGTTAGCAGAATTTGCAGAGACCTGGAGGCTTGAAACGACACAAATCTAATACCTTGCTTTCTGGTACGGGTCTCAGCAGGCTAAAATCAAAGCGGCAGCAGGGAAGCTCCAATGAAGCATCTGTTTCTTTTACCTTTTCTAGCTTCTAGAGGTCTCCCTGCATTTCCCGGCTCGGGCCTGCTTCCATCTTCAAAGCCAGTCGCGCCGGGCACGTCTTTCTCACACCCAATCACTCTGACACTGATTCTCCTTTCTCCCTCTCTCACTTATAAAACCTTGTGATTACATTGGGCTCACCTGGATAATCCAGGTTAATTTCCTTGTCTTAAAGTCCGTTGATTAGCAACGTTAATACCATCTGCAGCCTTTAATTCCCTCTTGCCACAGGACAGCTTCACAGGTTCCCGGATTAGGATGTGGCTATCTTTGGGGGTGCCATTATTCCGCCTATCACAGTTATACAGCAGGTGACTTAGCAAAAAATTCTGTGTATAAGAACAGTGTGTGATAAGAACAGTGATGGGAAGTAACTCTCAGAGGTTACATGACTTGCTGAAACAAAGCTTTTGATATTTGGCAGAGCAGAAGGCAAGAATAAACTGAAGATAAAGGAATCAGTTCAGAGAGAGAGAAAGCCCATGTGACTGTTTTGTCCTAATGTGGGCTTTTTAACGTGTTATAATCAGAGTCACAGTTTTCAGATTTAAGCATTAACAAATGACGCAGAGACTTCTGTTTTGTGTCCCGTTCCTCGGCCTCTCCTGTCTGGGTGCTTCCCACATGAATAAGTAATTAAACCCCCTGGTTTCTAGGTTTGCTAAGCTTTGAAATTACTCTTCCGTGAAAATACTTTCCCTCGCTTTTCAGGGAAAGAGGAGAAAAGGTCAGTGCATCGTTTTCTGGTCACCTCTGCTATCACAAAGTGGCAACAGCTGTTGTATTTTTAGCCTGATTTTCTACCTGCAGGAATCAGACCACTAGACTCCGGTAAAGGAGTTTTCTTCTTGGGGTGCTGGCTGCAAACGTTTTTTGACGAGACTATTCTTAAGGAGTTGCCCATTTGAACTTAGAAAGAGCAGTAGGTGTAGAAAAGTGTGGGTTATCATACTAAGTCCTAGTTTTGTTATTAAAGTATTTTCTCTGAATTATTAGTGTAGAAGGAGAATAAGACATGAGTTTAATGAGTGGATGTGGAAGCAACGATGCCTTTCTTTTCTACTTTTGGTGCCCGTAGATCAGTGGGACACAAGAGAGAACTAGAATGGGATCTAAGCAGACAGAGAGAAGGGAGGGGCAAAAATAGAAATCTGAATGGAAACCTGGCTTCCAGATTTTTGATAATTATGGATTATCCAGACATGTCTCAGATCACAGGAGCCAGTGCATTGAGCTCATTCATGGGAGATCAATTGTAAGCCCAAGAAAGAAGTTAGAGCAAAAATCAAAAGGGATTTTAACTGTAGAAGAAAGGTCAGGAAACTGAAGCTGGAATAGCCTCTTGGATCTTTATTCTTATGTCTAAATTCAGCTTTTTCTCAATGAAAGTTTTTAACACCTCAGATAGAATTTAATTCACCAGTGGAGGTCTGCCTTTCTATACTAGCCTCTGCCTTTCTATACTAGCCATCATCAACCAAGGCATGAATGACAATCTCTGACCTCAGAGGAGCATAGGATCTCATGGGGAGAATAAGACTCATAGACCAGGTAATAGTATGAAACACCTTTTGAAATTCTTATTCTGGAAACTTTCAAACATACACAATATAGAGAGAATGACATAATCAACTTCCATGTACGCATCACTTGCTCCAAGGATCATCAATATGTGGCCAGTCTCGTCTTATTCATCCCCCTCCCCACACCGTTATCTGCTGGATTATTTAAACACCAATCCTACACATCACTGGTGTGTGGCGTTTAAATTAAGTAATGTAGATAGAGCTAAAGGAGTTCAGAGAAGATGGAGGATGTAGAGACATCTTTATGGAGAAAGTATGACTTAGTTCTTGAGTGATGAGTTAAGCTGGATAAGCACAGAGGAGGCACGGGGAGAGTGCATTCAGGTAGGAGGGCGTAATGTGAATAGAAGAAGGACCATTTTTTACAAAAAGGAATGAAGCACAGATGCGTGCTACGATGTGGATGAACCCGGAAAACAATATGCTAAGTGAAAGAAACCAGACGAAAATGGTCACATGTTGTATGATTCTCTTATATGAAATATCCAGAATAGGCAAATGCATAGAAAGAAAACAGATGGGTGATTGCCAGGGGCTCTAGGGAGGGGAGAATGGGGAATAACTGCTTAGTGAGTATGGGTTTCATTTTGGCATGGTGAAAAAGTTTGGGACCTAAATAGAGGTGGTGGTTGGAAAACATGGTGAATGTATTAGATGCCACTGAATTGTTCACTTTAAAATGGTTCATATGAGTGGCATGAACATATATACACTACCAAATGTAAAATAGATAGCTAGTGGGAAGCAGCCGCATAGCACAGGGAGATCAGCTCGGTGCTTTGTGACCACCTAGAGGGGTGGGATAGGGAGGGTGGGAGGGAGACGCAAGAGGGAGGGGATATGGGGATATATGTATATGTATAGCTGATTCATTCTGTTATAAAGCAGAAACTAACACACCATTGTAAAACAATTATACTCCAATAAAAATGTTAAATAAATAAAGTATAAAATATTTACTATAAAAAATGGTTCATGTTATGTTATGTGAATTTCACCCTGATTACAAAAACAAAAACAAAAAAAGAACAGTAATGATTAACTCCATGACACCCTTTGTTAGGTGTTGCAGGCACGATGCTAGAAACCGAGGATAAAAGGGCACCAAGGATTATGGCGCTGGCAGTCCAGTTGGAGTTAGCAGCCAGGTGAAGAAGCTTGTGCAGGGGCTACGGTAGAAATATGTCAGGGTGCACACTGAGGGCACGATGAAAGGGGCTGCTCAGTCCCAGCTGGGTAGCACTGTCCAGTACAAATATAATGTGAGCCACGTGTGTAACTTTAAATTTCCTGGCAGCCACATTTTAAAAAACTAAAGAGAAACAGTTGAAATTCTTTTCAGACTATGTTCCATTTAACTCGATATCTCTAAAACATCATTTCAGCATGTAATCAATGTGTAAAATTATTGATGAGATATTTTATTTTATTTTATTTTATTTTGCGGTACGCAGGCCTCTCACTGTTGTGGCCTCTCCCGTTGCAGAGCACAGGATCCGGACGCGCAGGCTCAGCGGCCATGGCTCACGGGCCCAGCTGCTCCGCGGCATGTGGGATCTTCCCAGACCGGGGCATGAACCCGTGTCCGCTGCATCGACAGGCGGACTCCCAACCACTGCGCCACCAGGGAAGCCCAGATATTGTATATTTTTTTCATGCAAAGTCTTTGAAGTCCAGTGTGTATTTTAGACCAGCACATTGCAAGTGCTCACTGGCCACATGTGCCAGTGGCTGGTGTGTCACACAGAGCAGCTCCACAGGGACAGGAAGAGCTTCCCCAAGGGTTGAGCAGTGGCCTGGAGTTTGTGTTGCTCCAGGCAACCAAGTCAGGGGTTGGGGGCCACAGCTGGAGGGGAGCTATGAGGGTGACATGCTCACCCTACAGCCAGGGCAGAGGGTCAAGCCTGATTTCTACGGAGAGCGTAATAGGGACAATGTTTTAATGCACATCTGGTATTGTTTTCTCTGACCTATTTCCCAGGAGTGGAGATAAAGAAGAGGAAACACAGAGGTCGAGTTCCCATTACACATAATTGATTTAATGCCCACTCCCTACACCCAACTGTCTCCAGCATTCTTTTCTTATTTTTTTTTTCCAGAGGAAAATTTATTTATTTATTGGCTGTCTTGGGTCTTCGTTGCGGTGCGCATGCTTCTCATTGCGGTGGCTTCTCTTGTTGCGAAGCACGGGCTCTAGGCACGCGGGCTCAGTAGTTGTGGCTTGTGGGCTCTAGAGCGCAGGCTCAGTAGTTGTGGCGCACGGGCTTAGTTGCTCCGCGGCATGTGGGATCTTCCCAGACCAGGGCTCGAACCCCTGTCCTCTGCATTGGCAGGCGGATTCTTAACCACTGCGCCACCAAGGAAGCCCTCTTTAGTCTTCTTGAATCTGGAACATTCCCTCAGCCTACTTTATCTTTCAAGACATTAATATTTTTGAAGAGTGTTTTACAGAATGCCCTTCATTTTAGGGTTCTCTCATGCTTCCTCATGCTTACATTCAGGTTCTGCATTTTGAGTACTGCATAAGTAATACTACTTCCCTTTTATTGCATCACATGTTCTAATAACTTTTGAACACTTTTCTAGTCACTAAATTGAAGAGAGTATTACTTAAAAGTAAGTACATACAAACACTTAGCACAGGGCAAGGCATAGAGTAGGCTCTGGACAATTCTTATGGATTGAGGTTTGGAGGCCTTATGCCAATAAGAGAGGGCTATTGCAATTCTCACATGAAATTTATAAAATAGAAGTTTCCTTCACATAAAAAGCAGGAAGCTTCTGATTTAAGTATATATGGGAAAATTCTGAAAATGTGTAGAATGTGATTTCATTGAAGACATACATAACTACAATGAAACAAACCTCAGCTCACACACATAATAACACAATCTCTCTCGTTGCAGCTGATCAGTTTTTATAAAGAGGCTACATTCCATCTTGCTCTCTTTATCTTCAGCATTTTCTTAATCTGGTGGGTTTGGACAAAAACTTTCTTGCACATTTATTTATCTTTCTTTTGTGAATCATGTGAATTCTAAAGCTTATGTAGTTTTAGAGCTAAATGGTATCTATTCATTAATCCTTTACATGAAATGACTGAAAATGAAACAGGGTTTTTCTCGATACCTTGAACTAAATACGGAAATGCAAAAGAACTCCAGTTCAGTGAAGAGTGTGCCCAGCTGCACGCTCTGTTCCAGAGCCGAGACCTGTGAGTGGAGTCGGGTTTAGGGCCCAGCATCACAGCCCTCACCCCCTGCTTCTCCCAGGGACCCAGGAGAAGGGGTACAGTTGGAAGCTGACACCAATTCTCATGGATCCCTTTCTTTTCACCCGTTCACCACAGAATGCAAATTCTATTACAATTTTTGAGTGTGTGTGTGTGTGTGTATTGGGGGTGCCGATAATATTGACAACAGGTCATAGAAAGTGTAATGTTTGACTGAAGCAGAGAGAGCAACTCCATAGCCACATGTGAATTTCTGGGAGAAGTTTGGGTAGACTGTGGTTCATGGCAGGAGTCAATGCTTTAAAGTTTAAATTTTTAAATATGTTTTGTTGTTCTTTTGACCACTTCCTTACCTTCTTCTGGCATTAGGAAACATTGATCTACAAAGTTAAGGCTATGCACTGAAGTGGTCAAGGAAGTTGCCTTTGTGAAACAGAGTGTTTTACTCGCTACATATAAATTTGTAATGTCTACCCCTGCACCTATTTCCCCCAAATTTTTGTGGGGCAGGACTGTGTGGATTATGTTCATGCCTGGGTCTTAAAGGCAGGTGGGACTGTCAGAATAGGACAAGAGTGTGGGGGCAGATCCCACAAAGTCATAGACTGAAAAGAATTTGGGAAACACTGATATTGAGGAAGAAGAGCGGCCAAATCTTCTAAAAGTATATAAAACCCACCTCATCATAACACTCTCTTTACAGAGCTGGCATTTCGAGATTTCTAGGTTTAAAAATTATATTAGGGCTTCCCTGGTGGCGCAGTGGTGGAGAGTCCGCCTGCCGATGCAGGGGATATGGGTTCGTGCCCCTGTCTGGGAAGATCCCACGTGCCGCGGAGCGGCTGGGCGCATGAGCCATGGCCACTGAGCCTGCGCGTCCGGAGCCTGTGCTCCGCAGCGCGAGAGGCCGCAACAGTAAGAGGCCCGCGTACCGCAAAAAAAAAAAAAAAAAAAAAAAAAGTTATATTATTTTTCTTGCTATTACTTGTCCTTGTTTGATTTTGTCTTCATTTGCTCATCTGCTGAACTGAGTGTGCAGAGGTTCATAAACAGAATGTGAAACACGGGTCGGGAGAATCAAAGGGGCCACCTGTCGGGGCAGGCTGCCAGAGCCGGCGGCTCTGAATCACAGGGGCCCGGATCACATGCTGGGCATTGGCTTCACATCTCTCTGGAACCTGTGTGTTCACATCCTGGCCTTTCTTTCCTACACGCAGCAGCATGCTTTGGTTGGAAGCCATTACTATCGTCCTGTTTGATTGCTTGTTTAACCATTGTGAAAGATCACTCCCGTGATCCTGATGGACCAGCCATTATGCATATAAGAGTTTTGACTATAAGAGGGCAGGCTGTGGGATGCTATTCAATTTATGGCCTCCCACCATGTGACTCTGTGCAGCTGAGGGGCCTGACTGTGGACCGTTAAATTTCATTAGAAAAGACCATGCAGAACTTGTAAAAGCTACTCAGTCAATTTTGGGGCTTCTACAGTTTGAAAACCATCTGAAACTATTTGAAAAGTTTATTCTCTTTTAAAATGAGTTATCAATCATAGGGAAGGTTGGAATCAAGCTATTGCTTGGTTCCACTCAGAAAAAAATAGCTCAAATTTTTGGGTTGCCTTTCCAAGTTCAAAAATCAGCCTCATCATTAGTTAATCCTTAGGCAGACGCTATTCTTTGCCTACTCCAAAGCCATGCCCTATTCCTCATTCTCTGATGCCGTTTGAGCTTTGGGTGGAGATCTCTAGCTCTCAAGGAAGGGGGATCCAGCCCCTGGCCTAAGTGAGCACATGATCCACTTCTGGCTAATACCAAGGGGGGAAGTCTGCTGGGACGGGGGTGTCTGAGGGAATATTTTCTTCTCCTATAAGAGAAGGGTATACCAGGTCATTTCTTTGCCCTTGTTGCTGCCAGTTTTCTGTCTTTGAACATGGTCACTTGAAGAAACTCTCTGAGGAGCTATCTCTATTCTCTTGCAACCCTGAGGGGACAGGGGAAGAGACCTTGAGCTGTTGAATCAGTGCCAGCCCTATCTCTGGATTCCTTGTCACGTTAGAATTAAAAACCCTATCGGTAGGGTATTCTGTTACTTGAAGCCAAAAGTAGTCCTATGTGTTATAAATAGCACTGGTTACCTGCAAGGCCCTGTGCTAAGACATCAGGGAAATAAAAGACCTATTGGATACGACTCCCATCCTCAAGGGGCCTGCAATCCAGGTGGCAGACCTTTTCCAGTCAAGGGCCAGAGAGTCAATACTTCAGGCTTTGGGAGTTGTACAGTCTCTGTCACAACTACTCAGTCCTGCAGCTGCGGTGAGAAAGCAGGTGTAGACAAGATGGAAATAAGTGATTTTGGCTGGGTTCCAACAGAACTTTATTTATGGACACTGACATTTCATAGGTTGTTCAAGTGTCGCAAAATATTCTTCTTCTGTTTTTTCCTCAACCATCTGAAAATGTAAAAACCTTTTTAGCACACTGTACCAAACTGTGAGGTAGGCTAGACTTGGCTCATGGGCCGTAGATTACTGACCCCTGAGCTGGACGAAGGAAAACCCTAGAAAAAAGACTATCTCTTTGATTTACAGGAAGGGTGAATTGAAAGTTTTGTTGTTCCACTTTTGTTTTTAAACAAAAGATAACCTCTCAGCAATTGAGAAGGGCTGGCCAAGAGGTGAGGGAGGACTGGAAAACCAAGGTGAATGGAAGAAATGTTCAAGGACTTTCATGCTTTTGAGGTTTAGTTTAAGAAGTTCTCTACTCCGCCAGGTCACTTAGATAGTCACCCACACCTACTTCTATTAATCCCATTGTTTCAGCTTTCGGATATTGGTCTTTAATCGATCTAGAGTTCACTTCCGTACCTAGTGGTAGGTGGGGATCCAATTTTATTTTCATCCACGTAGTAGCAAGATTTCCCAAGACCATCTTCCGAGAACCTCTCTTTTTCCTGGTTTGTTGTAGAGGATGTTTGGGAGCAACTTGGGTGTCTGTCACCTGGGGACCAGGAGAGTCAGATGTAAGGATGGGTGCTCTGGGGTACTAGGCAGCAGGGAGAAGAGAAGCCTAGAAGTCCTCACAGCCACGTGGACCTTAAGACTGTAGGGGGAACATCACACACAACACATGTGTAACTTAAAGACACGTGCATTCACCACTGCCACACCGCCTTTTCACAAAGCCCGAAACAGAGAGTCACCTTAAACATAGAATGCTGGGGTGGGGGAAGATGGGAGTGAGGAAAGTGAACAAGAGAATAAGTAAAATATAAAACAAGGGAACAGACTTATGTGGAGACTAATGAGAATGTGCTTCAAACAGAGGGATAAAGTTAACTCAACTTTCCACCTAGGTTAACATTTTTTTTAAGTTTTTTAAGTTAATGAGGATCTTGAAAAACCAGATCTGTTTCATGTTGTGACCTGGGGTTTCCTGATCATTTCTGCCTTCTGAGTGAAAGCCTGGTGATTTATCCTGCCACAGAAATGAAACTTCCCCCAAGGGGGGAGTGGCAGATCACTTGATGAGTGAAAAAGTGCCAGAGGTTTTGTCAAGTGTGGGCTAGTGTGAGAAAAGAAGGTAGCAGTGCTGCAGGAAGAACATTCTGGCAGGGCTGTGAGGCTAGAGCAGAGAGAGTTAATGGTCATCCACCCAGGATAACAACAATGGCAATGACAATGATTGTTTTCCATATGTTGGACAATAATTTTTTTTTTTTTTTTTTTTGCGGTACGCAGGCCTCTCACTGTTGTGGCCTCTTCCGCTGCAGAGCACAGGCTCCGGACGCGCAGGCCCAGTGGCCATGGCTCACGGGCCCAGCCGCTATGCAGCACGCGGGATCTTCCCGGACTGGGGCACGAACCCGCGTCCCCTGCATTGGCAGGCGGACTCTCAACCACTGCGCCACCAGGGAAGCCCATGTTGGACAATAATTTAAGTGTTTTACATCCTCACAACAACCCACCAAGGTGAGGAGAGGAGATAATAGGTACTCTAATTGTTCTGATTTTTCAGATGAGGGGACTAAGGCACTGAGAGGTGAAGCAATTTGCCCAAGGTCACACAGTAAGTACTAGAACTGAGATTTGAACCCCTGCAGTCTGGTTCTGGAATCTGCCACTGAACCCTCTTGCTAGGCTGAGGGTTTCACTAGGTGTTATCAGTACCTGATGAAGCTATATCACTGGTACCACTTAACTTATGCTCGTGGTATTAGTGGTTTAACTATAAAAGATTTAACCTTTTAAAATATGGGGGCATTCAGTATTACAGGGGACAATATATAGATTTTTTTGCCATAAAATCTTCTTTCAGGAATATTTGTTCTGTGGTTTTATTTCTCAGTAATTTCATATACCACCAATTATTTTTAAGTAAAAAATATTGAGGGTCATATTCTTTGCTGGTGCCACAATATACTGTGAAGTGTTCTTCCTGGGTTTGGATATTGGGAATGACACAGGTGAGAAGGGGCCGTTTGGATGGAGGTACAACTATGACAAATTAACAGGTTAACTGGACCTCTTAATCTCTAATTATATTATTCATAACTGAATCAATGGAAAGGATCCTGGCATGTCTTCATTAGTCTCAAAAACAAATGGTTGCATTTTACACTACCAAACAGATAAAAAATACTGTCAGTGAGCAGAATAAATGAAGAGGAAAGAAAACGATTAGAATAATGTCAGTGAGCTGTAGAAAAGGGAAAGTTAAAGACTTTTGTATTCAGTGCTGTCCAGTGTTAAACTGATCTTTCAGGCCAGTGTTTTGGAGTGTGTTCAAACCACGAAAAAAGAGCAACATTCTTCATTAGCTGGAGATAATAAGAGGCATTTTCAGTGGGATTTAATGCTGGGTAGAGACTGCACCAAGCATGGAAATAACTGAGTCTGAACTCATTGAACTGATTTGTGCTGTTTACTGATGTTCAAAAATAAAAAGACCCCATTGATTCAAGTTTTCTGCCCCCAAATCCTTTCATCAAGTGTGCAAGGAATTGGCATGACACTCAAGGCCACAAAGAGCGACACCATGGAAAAGAGACTCGTAAAGGAAGTGGACTTTTCTGGCAGGAACACGCCACGGCCTGTGAAAGGGAACACTGAATGTCTGTAGGGCCAGGCCAGGGGCCACAGCTGTCAGATGGGGCCTGAGCGGACACATGGCTTCTGCCGAAGGAATCGGGTTTCTGAGAAAGAATTAAGGCTCGGCCGAGGTGCCGGAGGAGAGCTCAGAATGGTGAAAAAGACAGCTGGGGTTGGCACCAGGAGAGCACGCCAGGCCCCCTGAAAGGCAGCAAATAAGGGCCATTGTTCAAGGGCATTCCAGCCCCCAGGGGCTCAACCAGACCTGCTGAGAGGAGGTGGCTGTCCCACTGTGGGGGCTCACACTGGACTCCAGGACGCACAGAGCTGGAGTTTGCAGGCTTAATCCAACTTTTAAGAGGAGAAGATTATAAAAGTATGCTTTAATAGGGACATCTTTTAGAAATACAGTCCACCCAAAGGGGATACCCTCGTGAGACAAATGAAAGAGACAATTAGGAAACATCAACATAAAGGAGGAAGAGGAGAAACGGGCTTTAAGACAGAATTCTCTCTCTCTACACACCCATCTATATGTATGTATATTTACATTTTAATATGAAAAATTTCAGACATATCTAAGGGCAGAATAGCACAATGATTCCATGTATATCTATCACCTGGATCTAGTCATTACTAACATTTTACCGTGTTTTCTTCATATATTTTGATCTATTTCTTTCTTTACCATTATTTTAAAATAAATCCCAGACACTTCCTGCATATTTCTGTATGTATCACTAATAAAAAATCACCTTTTTTTTTAAAGTTGGAATTGCTTTCACTGGGGTGAGTACCGCTGACCCGCCGTGGTCAGGTAAGTGTTCTACCCCAGAAGGCAGCTGAAGCCTGGCGCCTCCACCCACCACCTCCCTGGGTCAGCGGAACATGCAAAGCCCAGTCAGAGGGTAGAGGCAGGGGTGGAAGCCACCAGGACCTGGGGCTGGATGAACAGGAGCGGGTAGCATCGGGCTGGGCCGCCTTGGTCAGCACATACTGTCCAGGCAGCGTCACTGGGCCCAGCACAGGGGTTGAGGCTCTCTGGGAGAGGCAGGCAGGCAGCACCCCAGGGTAAAAAGAACATGTTTTGTAACTCCAAATTGTAACAGTTCTAACTTAATAATTCCTTAATATCACTTCATACTTAGGCGACTGTATTGGTTATCTGTTTCTATGTAACAAAAAAATTTAGTGGCTTAAAATAGCACAAATTCATTATTTCCCAGAATCCATGATATGGAGGACCACCTGCATTATTAATTAAACAATAATTATTAATTAAGACAATAGTAATTATTACTAGAGCAAACACACTTCTTTTGTGACAGGTATTGTTTTAAACACTTTACAAAACTTAACTCATTTAAGTCTTCATAGCAACCTTACTTAGGCAAATGCTCTTACTATTCCCATTTTATAGGTGATAAAATTTGAGGCACAGAGATGTTAAGTAACTTTTCCAATGTCACACAGCTAATAAATGATATAGGTATGATATGAACACCAGCAGACTGGGTTCAAGACCCAGACCCAACCCAAGACCCAGAATCTGTGCTTGTACCACTATATTATGCTGCAGCATTTTATTCCCCTGCCTACTATACACCTCTACTATTATATCTAAAAGATACCTTAAAGTTACCGTGTTCAAAACTGAACTCCTGATTTTGCCCCCCAAACCAACTCCTTCCACAGCGTGATGGGTATTGTGGATTTGCTTGCTCTACATCTACCCCAAGCTCCTTCTAAAGTACCTTCCAGGGCTTCCCTGGTGGCGCAGTGGTTAAGAATCTGCCTGCCAATGCAGGGGACATGGGTTCAGTCCCTGCTCCGGTAAGATCCCACATGCTGCGGAGCAACTAAGCCTGCATGCCACAACTACTGAGCCTGCGCTCTAGAGCTCACGTGCCACAACTACTGAGCCCTTGCTCCGCAACAAGAGAAGCCACTGCAGTGAGAAGCCCACACACAGCAACGAAGACCCAACACAGCCAAAATAAATAAATAAAAATAAAATAAAGTGCCTTCTAATACTGCAGAGGCTGGAAAGCTAAAAACTACATTGCCCAGACTTTCTTGAAGCTAGAGTTCCAGATGTCAGTTAGGTTTCGACAATCAGTTGCAAGACCTGAATTTGGAACTGATTTTATGAGGAGAGGCAGGGCACATGCATCTCTTTACTAATGAGGAGGAAGTGGTAGAGCTCTGAGGCCTGCAGAAGTCAGGGTGGCTTCCTAGCTTAGCAGAGGCAGCTTGTTGACTCTGACTTGGCCGTGAGACTGAGAGTTTTTCCTAGAAGCTCAGGGTAGAGCCTCTATTGTTACATCATTTTATACTCTGAAATGTCTTTTTCTGCTTCAACTAGAGTGGAATTTTCTGTTAGGGTGTATTCTGTTCTCTGCAGCTGAACCTTGACCGATGATGTAGTCTGCCTTCCCTCAGCAGCAATTCTGTTCTTCCTGGATACGTATGTGTGTCAAAGTTATTTAACTGTACACGTTAAATATGAACAATAATTTATTATTATTTATTACTATTTATTATGCCTCAGTACAGCTATTAAATTAAATATGAAAATGAAAATATGGTCCATTTGAATTAATTTTTATGTATGATGTGAGGTATGGCTCAAAGTTCATCTTTTGCATGTGAATATCCAATTGTTCCAGCACCGTTTGCTGAAAGACTACCCTTTCTCCGCTGAATTGCCTTCAGATATTCATCAAAAATCAGTTGTCCACCTCTGCTTAAGGACCTGGTATTAACCAGCCCTGTGAAGCCACCATGGTGCATCCTAGGGACATTATTGTGGATGCTATTGAAGGCATCACAGGTACACTAGAAACTCCTCTGATCTCAGCACATGGAATGGTTAGCCTTGTCCTGAGCAGCTGTTTGTTTGTGTTCTCTTTTTAGGAAAAATGTCAGGGTCACTATGGGCTCATCACTCATTGTTGCCTTCACGCTGTGAGGAAGCCTAGAGGCCCCTGTGCCACCACCGCTAGTAAGTGCAGAGCCCGTACTGCAAGCATGTTGGTGACAGTCCTCATTCTTGGCTCCATTTTATCTTTCCTGCTCTCACTTTCCCTTTTTTTTTGCGGTTCGTGGGCCTCTCACCATTGTGGCCTCTCCCGTTGCGGAGCGCAGGCTCCGGACGCGCAGGCCCAGCGGCCATGGCTCACGGGCCCAGCCGCTCCGCGGCATGTGGGATCTTCCCGGACCGGGGCACGAACCCGTGTCCCCTGCATCGGCAGGTGGACTCTCAACCACTGCACCAACAGGGAAGCTCTCTCACTTTCCTTTTGCCCTAGTTTCCTCATCTACTTGTTTAAAGTTTTATCTTACTGTGAACATTTTTGTAAGTCATCTCATATCCTTTCTAGAATAAAGTTATACCTGAATAAATAAATAACAATTGTTAAAATAAATTAAGTCCTACAAGATCAAGCACCTTCTTCCCATAAAATTTTTATAACCTAAGAAGATTTTTCCAGGACCTACTCACTTGAGCAGTATCATTCACAGGGGCATTCTGGCACAACAGTGAGTGGGGGCAGTCCCTTGGAGTCATGGGATTTGCTCTGCAAGGGCCCGAGCCTGGTGTTGAAATGCCTCCAGGCCAGCAAGTCCTGTGACTCTGAGTCAGCTGCCCAGGGCTCCTGGAGAGAAGATCATTACCTCCCTCTTCGTCTTTCTCAAAA